AATAGAGAGGGGAGAGGTGTCAAGATGGTGGCATAGGTGGACTCTGAACTCACCTCCTCCCATGGACACAACTGATCTACAACTAGTCTTGGAACAACTACCCCTGAGAGAGAACTGAAAACTGGATAAAAAGAACCCCCACAACAAGAGACAGTGCTGAGCGAGGTGGAAGAGGCAGGAATTCCTTCTTCAGAGAAAAAAGTTACCTTCATGAGCCATGGTGTTTCACAGGCAGCCAGGAGCAATCCTAAGGTGCACAGCCTTCCCTGGAGGAACGGTGCATCTGAGTTGGGGAGTGTTTCTGCTATAAGCACCCTTTGGACTCAGCATAATGGAAATGAATGTCACAATATCTGGCTTTGCTGGCTATTAACTACAACGGGGAATACCCCTAAAAAAGCTATTGGACATAAGCAGAAAAAAAGCCGCTCTTAGAGGGCCCATGCACAAATTCACCCATTTCAGAAAGCAACGTAAAACCACCAGAAAAGTGCACAGTCTTTTCTTGAAAAGAGACTCACCTGGTAGGCTCTGGGCACATCTCAGTGAGACGTGAGACCTCTCCAGGGACTGAGATATTGGTGGCAGCCATTATTGTGACCTAGTAGAGGCATGCTGACATAGCTGCTAGCAGATGCCATTAGAGTTTGTCCCCTGGCTTGATAGCTCAAGGTCTGCCCCACCCACTAGAGCACTGATTTAATCCAGCTCAGACAGGGATGGCAGCCCACCCTAGGGACTGACACCACCCAGCAGCAAGCCCTCAGGCAACTTGTGGGCCTGCATCGGCTAGGTGCCTGGATCCTCTGCAGCCAGGTGAGTGGGTCTACCTCTGTGGGCAGGGTGTGCATAAGAAGGAGGAGGAGTGTGTGGGGCACTGGCAGAGTGTGGGGGCCTCTGCTGTGGGGCAACTGGGTCTGCTTCAGGGGGTTGAGGCATGCACATGGCTCAGGACTGTGTTTATGGTGTGTGTGGCCTTGTGGGCAATGGGGTATATCAGCTGCAGAAGACTTGTGCTTCTCAAACAACCACATAGGGGATTGGCCCCACCCTCCAAAGTCTGAAACAATTGGGTACTCCTGTGCCTGGGACTGGCCCCACTCAGCTGCAACCCTGAAAGAGCTGACAAGAGCCTTGCAAGCTGGAGGCCTACAGCAATTATAAGCCCCTGAGCCTAGCAACCAGCCACAGTGGGGGCCTACTCACTCAACAGAAAAACTGCAACAGGAATATGTTATTAGACTTTACAGCCAGCTGTGCTGGGGATCCCCATGCCTGATAAAGTAATTAAAGGGTCCATAGCAGCCACATGCAGCTGAGAATTACAACCAGCTGCACGGGGGGACAGTCTAGCCTCCCTGAGCACCTGCGGCAAAAGCAACCCTGCCACAACAGAAGAACACATGTAGCCCACACAGGGGACACCCCTGGAACATTAGGAACTGGTGATGAGTGGGAGGCACACTGCTGGGCCTCATAAGGCATCGCTTTACATAGGCCATGTCTCCAAGATCAGGAGATGTCGCTGACCTACCTAATACATAGATATAATCACAGAGAAAGAGGCAAAATGAGGAGACAAAAGAATATATTCCAAGGAAGGGAACACGACAAAACCTCACATAAAGACCTAAATGAAACAGAAATAAATAATCTACCTGAGAAAGAGTTCAAACAAAAAGTCATAGGGATGCTCAATGATCTTGGGAGAAGAATGGATGAACTCAGTGAGAACTTCAACAAAGAATTGGAAAATATAAAAAAGAACCAATCAGAAATGAAAAATAAAATACTGGAAATGAAAAATTCACTAGAGAGACTCAATAGCAGAGTTGATGATACAGAGGAAAAGATCAGTGAGCTGGATGAAAGACTAGAGGAAATCACCCAAGCTGAATAGATAAAAGAAAAAAGAATTAAAAAGAATGAGAACTGTCTAAGGGACAACATTAAATGCATTAATATTCATATTATATGTATCCCAGAAGGAGAAGAGAGAGATAACAGGGAATAGAATCTATTTGAAGAAATAATAGCTGAAAACTTTCCTAACCTAAGGAAGGAAACAGACATTCAAGTACAGGAAGCATAGAGAGCACCAAATATCAACAATTGAAGATAAATTGAGAATTCTAAAAGCTGTAAGGGAAAGGTAACAAATTACATACAAAGGAAACCCTATAAGGCTATCAGCTGACTTCTCAGCAGAAACCTTACAGGCCAGAATGGAGTGGCACGATATAGTTAAAGTGCTGAAAGGAAAAAACCTACAGCCAGGAATACTCTACCCAGCAAGGTTATCATTCAGAATGGAAGGAGAGATAAAGAATTTCCAAGATAGGCAAAAACTTAAGGAGTTTTTCACCAAGAAACCAGCTTTACAAGAAATGCTAAAGGGACTTATTTAAGTGGAAAACAGACGACAGCAAACAGGAATAAGAAAATTATCAAAAAAAAAAAAAAAAAAAAAAAGTAGGGCTGGGCTGTGGCCAAGTGGTTAAGTTCGTGCACTCTGCTTCAGTGGCCCAGGGTTTCACCGGTTCAGATTCTGGGCACAGACATGGCAGTGCTCATCAAGCCGTGCTGAGATGGTGTCCCACATGCCACAACCAGAAGGACCTATAACTAGACTATACAACTATGTACTGGGGGGCTTTGGGGAGAAGAAGAAAAAAAGATTGGCAACAGATGTTAGCTCAGGTGCCAATCTTTAAGAAAAAAAAGCAATAAAATCACTGGTAAAGGCAAATATACAATAAAGGGAGCAGATCAACCAGCTATGAAGCTAACATGAAGGTTAAAAGATAAAAGTACTAAAATTATCTATTTCCATGATAAGAGGGTAATGGATACACATGCACAAAAAAGAAGTTAGATATGTTATCAAAAACATAAAATGTGGGAGCAGGGGAGTAAAAGAGTAGAGCTTTTAGCAAGAGGTCAAACTAAAGAGACCATCAAATTAATATAGATTGCTATTTACATAGGTTATTATATATGAACTTCATAATACTAAAGAAAGCCACAAGGGAAGAGAGCAAGAGAACAAGAAAGGAACAGAGAAGAACTACTAAAACACCAAGAAAAAAACTTAACAAAATGGCAGTAAGTACATTCTTATCAATAGCTACTTTAAATGTCAATGGACTAAATATTCCAATCAAAAGGCATAGAGTGGCTGATTGGATAAAAAAACAAGACCCATATATATGCTGCATACAAGAGACACACTTCAGACCTAAAGACATTCACAAACTGCAAGTGAAGGAATGGAAAAAAATTGAACTGTATATTTTATAAATTTATTTATATTTTATAAATATAAAATGTCCTTTTAGGCAACAAAAGCAGAAACAAACAAGTGGGACTACATCAAACCAAAAAGCTTCCATACAGCAAAGGAAGCCATCAACAAAATGAAAAGGGAATCTACTAAATGGGAAAAAATATTTGCAAACCATATCTGATAAAGGGTTAATAGTCAAGATATATAAAGAAGGCATACAACTCAACAGCAAAAAAACAAACAATCTGATTTAAAAATGGGCAGATGATCTGAATAGATAATTTTCCAAAGAACACATACAGATGGCCAACAGGTACATCAAAGTTTCTCAGCATCCCTAATCATCAGGGAGATGCAAACCAAAACCACAATGAGATCTCGCCATTCACACATGTTAGAATGGCTACTATTAAAAAGATAAGAAATAGGAGCCCACCCAGTGGCGGAGTAGTTAAGTTCACACACTCTGCTCCAGCAGCCCAGGGTTCATAGGTTGGGATCCTGGGTGCAGCTCTAGCACCACCCATCAAGCCACACTGTTGTGGCATCCCACATAAAACAGAGGAAGATTGGCACAGATGTTAGCTCAGTGACAATCTTCCTCAAGCAAAAAGGGGAAGATGGGCAACAGAGGTTAGCTCAGGGACAATCTTCTTCACACACACACACAAAAACATAAAAATAACAAATGTTGGTGAGGATGTAGAGAAAAGGGAACACTGAGATACTGTTGGTGGGAATATAAATTGGTGCATCCACTGTGGAAAACAGTATAGAGGTACCTCAAAAAATCAAAAATAGAACTACCATATGATCTGACAATTCTACTTCCGGATATTTATCCCAAAGAAATGAAGAGACTAAATAGAAAAGATACATCCATCCCCATTTTTCTTGCAGTATTGTTTACAATAGCCAAGACATAGAAGCAAATTTTTAAATCAGATTGTTTGTTTTTTTGCTGTCCATCAATGGATGAATGGATAAAGAGAATGTGATATATACATGATGGAATATTATTCACCCATAAAAAGAAGGAAATCTTGCCATTTGTGACAATACAGATATACCTTTAGGGCATTATGCTAAGTGAAATAAATCAGACAGAGAAAGACAAATACTGCATGATCTGACTTATATGTGGACTCTAAAAAAAAAAAAAAACAAAAAAACCCAAAAAACAAAACCAAACTCACAGATACAGAGAACAGATTGGTGGTTGACAGAAGTGGGCTGTGGGGCTGGGCAAAATGGGTGAAGGTAGTTAAAGACACAAACTTCCAGCTAGAAAATAAGTCAGTCCTGGGGTTGTAATGTACAGCATAGTGACTGTATTGCATATTTGAAAGTTACTAAGAGTGTAGATCTTAAAAGTTCTCATCACAAGAAAAAAGATTTTGTAACTATGTGTGGATGTTAACTAGACTTATTGTTGTGATCATTTCACAATATCTACAGACAGGGAATCATTATATTGTACACCTGAAACTAATGTAATGCGATATGTTAATGATATCTCAATAAAAAGTCCTTTTGTGGCTTGAATGGTACTATTTTAAGTCTTCTTCACCTGAAATTAACATACTTAAACCAGTTTTGGACGGTGGTGTCTCTCTCTCTATTTTCTGTTAGACTTTGTGGTGGATTGGCTTTGCTTTTGTCAGGAGCTCAGCTCAGCTGGAAAGAGCTGAACTGCAGGCTGTGAGTAGCTGATTAAAGCAGCAAGCCAAAACTGAAAGCAACGGTTAAGGCTTTGTCACTTCCTGTGATGGTACAAGCCGGAGGCTAACGCAGAGAAGAGGCCCACTGCCCGATTCCATTTTCCACCACAAAAGGTGCACTCTGTAGAGGGTGACCTAGGTTAGCATAGACGAAGGAGTGGTCTCACTGCTGAGGGAGATGGGAATAAAAGGCCCTTGCAGTTTTTCGGGGGAGGAAGGCTGGGGAAGAGGAAGGAGGACCTTGGGTGAAAAAGTGCTGAGAATTGAGTCAGAGTTGAGAAAAGTGTCTCAAGACTTCCCCTCCTTGCCCTGACAAAGAGGTCTCAGCAGAGGTGCCTGAGGAAAGCCCCAAATAAAGAGGCTTCGGAGTGGAAATGCCCGGGTGAGTAATACAGATACTCCTAAGAGCGTGGCTGGTAAGGGAGGTTTGAGTCCTTGACTGCAACTCCCCTTAGAGTCTGTCGTGTATTTGGCTGTGCACCAAGTCTGGTGTTGGGTGGGCAGCTTTCTCCTGAGAGGCCTGCCAGGTAAAGCCTCTGTAATTGCCTATGGTCAGGCCTGAGAAATCACACATAAGTTTTTAACCAGGAGACAAACTCCCCCATTTTTCTTTTTTTTTTTTCCGTTGAGAAAGTCACCCTGAGCTAACATCTGTGCCACTCTTCCTCTATTTTGTATGTGGGTCACCATGTCAGCATGGCTGCCAACGAGTGGTGGAGGTCCAGCTCGGGAACCGAACCCAGGCCGCCACAGTGGAAGGTGCCAAACCTAACCACTAGGCCACAGGGCTGGCCTCCAAACTCCCCCATTTTCAGTTCATAGTACTCACCAGGGAACCATCTGGGCCTGGTTTTTTGATTTGTGGATGGTTTTTTTTAAAGATATAGTTTTTAAAATAGTTATAGGATCATTGAGATTTTCTGTAACTTCTTGCGACAGTTTTAGTAAGTGTGTTTTCCTGAACTATTTTCCTTTATGTCGAACTTTTCAAATTTATTGGCATAAAGTCATTCATAATATTTTTCTGTTATATTTTAACTGCCTGCAAAAGCTGTAGTTTGTTTTTTTCCCATTTCTGACAGTGGTTGTTTGTGTCTTATCACGTTTTTCTGGATAATATTTTACCAGTACTATTGATATTTACAATTAACAAGTTATAGTTTTGAGATTGCATTGTAGGTTTATTTTCCATTTCATCAAAATTTTCCCCCTTCCTTTTTTTCTACTTTCTTTGAGTTTATTTTCTTCTTTTCTTACTAATGTCTTGAGATAGGTTATTAGATCATTAATTTTAAACCTGTTTATTCTCTTAATTCTGCTGTTAGGGATATAAATTTCCCTCTAAGAAATGAGTATCCCAATACAACAAAGTTTTTATATGGATTATTTTCATTGATAAAGAAAAATGAGCCCTGACAACTGTCAGCTGAGGGCTATTCTGCCACATGTTGCTGGGCTCTGGTGTTGCCTCTTAACGTAATTTCACAGAACAACATCAGACGATGTCTGGACCTCAATGAAGTGAAACAAAAACAAGAGATAAATAAACACTGACATAAACGAGAACATTGCAAACCACAAAATGACCAAATATCCCCAACTGGGGGCTAACAGGAATGGCCGCTGCTTCTTTACCAAGTTCAGCTTCAGCTCTGCTCTCATACTCCCACCTCTTAGATAAATTGATAAGATTCCCGATTAGAGAATTACTTCCACTTTCCAAGCACACCAAACCCCCTCCTCCACTTCTTTGAACCCTCCCTAGAATCTCCTCTTACAACCTAAATGTTATAACCAGCCATTCTACCATCTTCCTGCTGAGATGCTACGTGCTTCCGCATGGGGTGGGGTCTCCCTTCCTGCATCAAGTACCAATAAAACCAGCTTTCTTTGGACATCTGGTATGTTCCTGGTGGTCTTTGGCTGGTGGGTATCAATATTGTCATCAATTATTACAAACTGTTCTCTTCTTACCTTTTTAATTTTCCCTTGATTCATAGGTTATTTAGAAAAGCTTTTTAAAGAAAATTTTCCAATATTGAAAGTGGATTGTGGTCAGAGACTATTCAATTTCCAATTTTATTTTCATAAAAATAAAGAATCATTTCTTTAATATTTCCTGATACTAGCATTATAGCCCCATATATGCTCAATGTAGTAAATTTTTCATAAACACTTATAATGAAGGTGTATTCTACATTTGTTGAGTAGAAGGTATATAATGTTATATGTCCATTAGTTCAAAAATTTTATTTGTATTCTTCAAGTCATCTGTGTTCTTAGTTTTTTCCTATAAGATAATGAAAGAGGTGTATTAAAATCTCCCTATGATAATTTATTTATATATTTCTTCTTTTAGTTCTGTCAATTAATTAATAATCATATCTCATTAAACAAGTATGTGTCAACTTGGCTAGGCTATGGTACACAGTTGTTTAGTCAAACATCAGTCTAGATGTTCCACTAATCCCACTAGACCAGGGCCCCACCTTCATGACCTCATCTAACCCTAATTACCTCCCAAATGCCCCATCTCCAAATGTTCAGTCATAGCACCGTGCCCCTGACTCCTTAAAACTCATGTTATCACATACAAAATACATTTATTCCATCCCAATAGCCCCAAAAGTCAAAACTCACTCCAGCATCAACTAAGTCTAAAGTCCAAAGTCTCATCTAAATATCTTCTAAATCAGATATGGGTGAGATGTGAAGTACAATTCATCCTGAGGCAAAATTCCTCTCTAGCTGTGAACCTGTGAAACCAGACGATTTATGTGCTTCCAAAATAGATTGGTGGACACGCATAGGATAGACATTCCCATTCCAAAAAGGAGCAACAAGAAAGAAAGAAGGGGTGATGCGTTCCAAGCAAGTCCAAAACTTAGCAAGGCACGTTCCATTAGAACTTAAGGCTCAATAATAATGCTTGTTGGTTTGATGCTCAGCCCTTCAGCCCACTTAGGTGGCAGTGTCACCCCAATGTGCAATTGTATACTGATTCATGGGCTGTGGCCAGTGATTTGGCCGGATTGTCAGGAACTCAGATTAGCAAATTGGTGACAAGGAGGTGTGAGGAAGAGGTAAGTGGATAGAGCTCACTGAACGAGCAGAAAACAGAGATATTTGTGTCCTTGTGAATGTTCACCAAAGAGTGACCTCAGTAGACGAGGATTTCAATAATCAAGTGGATAAGATGACCCATTCTATGGATCCAATCAGCCTCTTTCCACTCCTGTCATCCTTATCACATCCTTGTCACTCCTGTCATTGCCCAATGAGATCATGAACAAAGTGGTCATGGTGGCAGTGATGGCGGTTATGCATGGGGTCAGCAACATGGACTTTTACTGACCACCGCTGGCCTGGCAACAGCCACTGTTGAGTCCTCAATCTGCGGAAATCAACACCAAGTCTCTGATATGGCATTGATTCCCAGGGTGTTCAGCTAGCTACCTGGTGGCAGGTTGACTACATTGGATAATTTCCATCATAGAAACAGCAATGTTTTGTTATTGTTGGAATACACACTTTCTCTGGAAGTGGGTTTGCATTCTCTGTAGGCAGTGCTCTTGCCCAAACTACCATCCATGGATTTACAGGATACTTTGTCATGATATTACGCACATAATTTGTTCTGATCAAGGAACTCACTTCACAGCAAATGAAGGGTGGCAATAGGTCCAAGATCAGGAAATTCACTGGTCTTACCATTTTCCCCATCATCCAGAGGGAGTTGGCTTGATAGAATGGTGGAATGGCCTTTTGAAGAATTAGTTATAGTGCCAGCTGAGTGACAACATTTTGCAGGGCTTGGGCAAGGTTCTCCAGGTGATTGCTCTGAAACAGCGTCCAATATAGGTACTGTTTCTCCCATAGCCAGAATTCATATGTCAAAAATCTATGGATGAAAATAGGAGAGGCACCACTTACTAGTACACCTAAGGACCCACTGGAAAACATTTCCTTCCTGTCTTTGTGACCTTAAGCTCTACTAGTGCTGAAGGTATAAATGCTTCCACCAGGAGACACAACAATGGTTCCTTTGACCTGGACGTTAAGATTGCAACCGACGATGTTGGACTCCTCATGCCTCTGAATCAACAGGGAAAATAGAGATTTATTATGCTGTCTGGAGTGATTGATCCTGACTACCAAAGAGAAACTGGACTACTCCTCCACAATAGAAGAAGGAAGAGTAGGTCTGGAATATAGGAGATCTCTTACAGCATCTACCATGCCATGTGATTAAAGGCCACAGGAAAGTGCTATAGCCCAATTCACCAAGAACTAACAATGGCCAGATCCTTGAGGAATAAAGGCTTGAGTCACCCCACCACATAAAGAATCACAACCAGCTGAGGTCTTGCTGAGGCCAAAAGGAATACAGAATAGGTAGTTGAAGAATGTAGTTATAAATACCAGCTACAATTATGTGACCAGTTACAGAAATGAGGATTAAAACTGATATGACTATTTCTTCGTTTTGTCATGAATATAGTTGTGTGTGTGTGTGTAAAGAAAATATCTTTATGTTCTTCCCTCTCTTATCCCCTTATCATATAACGTAACATATATTGACTTTATATCATCATATTTAAGTATTTAAGTTAAAGGATATCAAGGAAAGCACAGAACATCACCCAAGAATTTTGCATCTTCTTTTTTTCTTGCTGAGGAAGTTTCACCCTGAGCTAACATCTGTGGCCAATCTTCTTCTATGTTGTTTGTGGGTTGCTGCCACAGCATGGCTGATGAGTGGTGTAGGTCCACTCTCAGGAACCAAACCCAGGCCACTGAAGCAGAGCACACCAAATTTAACCACTAGGCCACTGGGCTGGCGCCTTCATCTTCTTTTGGGGAAAGAGTTAGTGAGTTTTGGGTTTTATGAAGGATAGTTGTATCATGTTAGGTGGAAGTATGACCTTGTTTTTGTGTTTACTTGGAGACTATGTATGGTTTCAAGAGTTGAGTATGGTTGTCAAGTTGACAAAGGTTCAACAGTCATGATTAATTTTTTGTGTTGACTTAAATAGGATATAGTATCCAGGTGTTTAATCAATCACCAATCTAGATGTTGCTTTGAGGATATTTTTTATATGTGATTAACATTTCAATCAGGAGACTCAGAATAATACAGGTTACTTTCCATGATGGAGGTGGGCCTAATCCAATCAGTTGAAGGCCTTAAGAGAAAAAACTGAGGTCCTCTGAGGAAGAAAGAATTCTGCCTTGAGACTGCCTTCTGGCTCAAAACTGCAACACTGACCGTCCTGGATCTTCAGCCTGCCGGCCTGCCCTGCATATTTCAGACTTGCCAGCTCCCATAACTGCATGAACCAATTCCGTAAAATCAATCAATCAATACCTATCTGTCTATCTATCTATCATCTACCTATCATCTATCTATCTATCTATCATCTACCTATCTATCTATCTATACACATGTCGCATTGGAGAGATAAATATATAGATAACATACACACACCCATGCGTCATTTGGTTCTATTTTTTTGGAGAACACTGACAAATGCAGTCACCTAGATTTTCTCCTGTGTTATATTGTAGGAGTTTTATAGTTTTTGCATTTTACATTTAGGTCTATGGCCATGTTGAGTTATTTTTTGTGAAAAGTGTAAGGTCTGTGTCTAGATTCTTTTTTCTCTTTTTTTGCATATGAATGTCCAGCTGTTCCAGTACCATTTGCTGAAAAGACTGACCTTTCTCCATTGAATTTCCTCTGCTCCTTTGTCAAAGATCAATTGATTACATTTGTGTGGATCAATTTCTGCATTCTCTTTTCTGTTCCATCTTTCTATGTTTCTATTCTTTCACAAATACCACAATGTCTTGATTACTGTAGCTTTACAGTAAGTTTTGAAGTTAAGTTGTGTCAGTCTTTTGGCTATGTTCCTCTCATTCAATATTTTGTTGGCTTTTTTGGGCCTTTTGCCTTTCCAGATAAACTTCAGAAAGAGTTTTTTACGTCCATGAAATAACTGGGATGTTGGGAAGAACTGACATCTTGACAATATTGGTTCTTCCTATCCATGTACATGGAATATCTTTGCATTTATGTAGATCTTTGATTTCTATCATCAGAGTTTTGTGTTTTCCTCATATTGATCTTTTGCATATTGTCAGATTTATGCCTACATATTTCAACTTTTAGTACTAGTATAAATAATATTGTGCTGTTAATTTCAAATTCTAATTGTATATTGCTGGTATATGAGAAAGCAATTACTTTTTAATATTAATCTTGTATCCTGCAACCTTGGTATAATCACTTATTAGTTACAGCAGGGTTTTTTTGTTGGCACTTCTCTGGGATTTTCTCCATAAATAATCTTGTCATCTGCAAACAAAGGCAGGTTTATTTCTTCCTTCCCAGTCTGAACACCTCTTATTTCCTTTTCTTGTATTATTGCATTAGCCAGGACTTCCAGTATGATTTTGAATAGGAGTGAAGACAGAGGGATATCCTTGCCTTGTTCCTGATCTTAGCAGAAAAACATCTAATCTTTCACAGTTAAATGTGATGTTGGCTGTAGGTTTTTTGTTTTGTGTTGTTTTTTGTACTTCTTTGTCACGCTGAGGAAATTCCCCTCTAATCATAGCTTACCGGGAGTTTCTATCATGAATGAGCGTTGGATTTTGTTCAATGCCTTTTCTTTTTTTTTTTTTAAAAGATTTTATTTTTTCCTTTTTCTCCCCAAAGCCCCCCCGGTACATAGTTGTATATTCTTCGTTGTGGGTCCTTCTAGTTGTGGTATGTGGGACGCTGCCTCAGCATGGCTTGATGAGTGGTGCCATGTCCGCGCCCAGGATTCGAACCAACGAAACACTGGGCCGCCTGCAGCAGAACGCGCGAACTTAACCACTCGGCCACGGGGCCAGCCCCATTGTTCAATGCCTTTTCTGTGTCTATTTATACAATATGATTTTTCTTCTTTACTCTGTTGATGTGATGGATTACATTAATTGATTTTTGAGTGTTTAACCAGCCTTGCACACCTGGAATAAATTCTGCTTTTTGGGAGAGTATTGTTCTTGTTGAATATTATTGGATTCAAGTTGCTAATATTTCACTGAGGATTTTTGCATCTATGATCATGAAATATATTGGTCTATAATTTTCCTTTCTTGCTTTATTCTTTAGTATTGTATTAGTATTAATATTGCTTTTGGTATTAGGATAATTCATGTCCCATAGAATAAGTTAGGAGTATTCCTTCTGCTTCTATTTTCTTCAAGAGATTGTAGAGAATTGGTATAATTTCTCCCTTAAGTGTTTTCACCAACGAATTCACCAGTGAACTCATGTAGGATTGGTACTTTCTGTTTTTCTTATTAATTTTTGATTCAATCTCTCTAATAGATATAGGCCTATTCAGATTATTTCTTCCTTCTTGTATAAGTTTTGGTAGATTGTGTCTTTCAAGGAATTGGTCCACTTCGTCTAGGTTATCAAATCTGTGAGTATAGAGTTGTTCATAATATTCCTTTATTATCTTTTAATATCCACAGTATCAGTAGTGATGGCTCATATTTAATTTCTGATTTTAGTCAATTGTGTCTTCTCTCCTTTTTTCTTAGTTAATCTGGCTAGAGTTTATCAATTTTATTTATCTTGTCAAAGAACTAGCTTTTGGTTTCATTGATTTTCTCTATTGATTTCCTGTTCTCAATCTCACTGATTTCTGCTGTAATTTTTATTATTTCTTTTTTCTGCTTACTTTGGATTTAATTTACTCCTCTTTTTCTAGTTTCCTAAAGTGAAAGTTTGATTATTGATATTAGATCTTATTTAGATTTTGTTTAGATCTTTTGGGGTGAACTGTCCTGTATATGTCTGCTGGGTCTAATTGGTTTACAGTGTTGTTCAAGTCCTCTATTTCTTTATTGATATTCCATCTAGATGTTCTATTCATTATTGAAAGTATGGTATTGTAGTCTCCAGTTATTATAAACCTATTTCTCCTTTCAATTCTGTCAATCTTTATTTTATATACTTCAGAGGTCTTTAAGTGAGTCTATATTTACAATTATTATATCTTCTTGAGGATTGACCTTTTCATCAATATATAATCACCTTGCTTGTCTCTTGTAACAACTTTTGACTTAAATTCTATTTTGTCTGATATTATTACCACTGCTTCAGCTCTCTTTTGGTTAATATTTGCCTGGAATACCTTTCTGGTCTTTCACTTTCAGCCTATTTGTGACTTTTGATTTGAAGTGTGTGGCAAACTACCCTTCAACAATTAAGGAAGAAATTAAGATATTCCCAGATACTCAAAAGATGAGGGATTTCATTTTCAGTTGAGCTGCAATATAAAAAATGCTAAAGGGAATCTTTCAGGCTGAAATGAAAGTCTGCTAGACAATAACTTGAGCCATATGACTAAATAAGGTAACTACATAGGTAAATATAAAAGGCGGTATTATTGTATTTGTGGTTTGTATCTCCTCTTTTTATTTCTATATCATAGAAAAGACAACTGCATAAAACAATAATTATAATCTACCCTAATGGCCAAACAATGTATAAAGATGTAATTTATGACAATAACAACATAACAGGAAGAAGATGGATCTGTATAAGAGCAGAGTTTTTTAATATTATTGAAGCTAAATTGGTATTATTTTGAAGGGGACCAGAATTTGCCACCCCAAAATATGTCTCTTCGGCATAAGGATTATCTTGACCTGGTTATTTTTGAAAAACTATAGCCACAGGAAAAGCTCTGTAAACTGAGTAGAAGTTGCTCTTGTGTAAAAGATATTTGCATTTGTAAGAGAAATCTCCATTTGTGAGAGCATCTTTTTCTCTCTGTACTAGAAAGAGAAGACTAACTCTCAGTCTCCAGTAACTGTAATCAGTGGAGAAAGCAAAGACTTAAATCTGCATAGCAGCCATATCCTCATTTACTGTGCTTTGTCTGATAACCTGCCATAACTGTCCCCTACAACATCTTCTTTTTTCTTTAGCTGGAGATAGTGTGTAAGGTGATGGGAAGGGGTGTAGGCCTAACAAGGACTTGAGGAATGATCAGCTTTTAATTGTAACTACTCACAAGTTCCAGAGCATTGTTTCCAGAGGGATTGACATCCTTGGGTCTCTGGGAAGAGACTTGACGAGGGAATTAAGAACCTCAAACCCAAACGGAAGGCATTAACAAGACCTTCATCAAAGAACCTATTAAGTACAGCCATGCCTCATTGGGAAGAAATCCTTATTTATAAAGAATTGCTGGGGTAAGAGGGAAGGCAACATCCCTATCTTGGTTTTGCGGGCATTGTAAATGTTTAAAGCAGATGTACAATGCATGCCTAGCAGGCTAGTCAGGGCTTTTTATAAAAATAAGGTTAGGCCAAATTAACTTTAAACCAAATGGCTCCCTCATATCTTCTATATCATAGAAAAGACAACTGCATAAAACAATGATTATAATCTACACTAATGGCCAAACAATGTATAAAGATGTAATTTATGACAATAACAACATAACAGGAAGAAGATGGATCTGTATAGGAGCAGAGTTTTTAATATTATTGAAGCTAAATTGGTATTATTTTGAAGGGGACCAGAATTTGCCACCTATTATCCTTTTGCTTTCTATTTATCCTATTGCTTTCTATTTATTTATCATTTTCCCCTTTTTCATTTGATAATCCTTCCATAGAAAGCATTGATGACCAAAATATCGTCCCTCGGCGCCAGGGTGGTAGTTACTTGCCCTGGGTCCCTCAAGTCCCTTGGTGCTAGGCCTTTATCCCATTGATTTGCCTAATTATCCACCTTGGGGGGAAATAGTGGACAAGCATAGATATTTACGTATTAACAGAGGGAGGTTTTCCTATGTTTTTCGATTAACTTTAGATTGCTGTGCAAACATTGTACATGTTCTTTTTTACGACTGTTTATGATTATGTTGTTTACAACTATAGAAAAGACTAGTTTTAAAATAATTTAAGCTTTATCAGAAATAGTCTTTATCAGAGAGAGAAATTCATCCAGAGTCATAGAATTGATTGACCATCTCAAGTTGTTGAGCCATCATTACTTTAGCCTCCATACTAGTCTTACAACACTGAGTAAAGAAAACAGTAATCAGTTTGAATACTCTGACTAATACGAGAATTCCAAGAAGTAATAGAAATAGGAATTGTAATCTGGATAGCAAAAAGGAACCAATACCCGAGGGAAGCCAACCAAATAAATCAAGACTGGGTGCAGGATCGCTCAAGGCATTCACCTGCTTTCTCATGTGCTTTAACAGGAACGACACATTGGAAGATTCATCAGGTGTACAGACAGAGCATTCAGTTTGAATAATTGCACATGTACCACCTTGGGAGGCTGGTACCATCTAAGGCCATTCTGTTTATTCTGTTTTAAAGGACAGCCTTCCTCATTGAAGACACTTCAGTATTTAACAAGGCTATTCCTGCTTGACTATCTTTAAGATCTTGTTGGCTAAATTTAATCAGAGTTTCTACATGTGTTATGATATCTTCTAGCCCCAAGGGATGAAAAAATATAGCTGCTAGGGGGTCATACCAGAGGAACACTGAATGAGCCCATCTGGTCTTAAGGAGAGGAAGATTGGCAATGGATGTTAGCCCAGGATGAATCCTTCCCTGCATCTAAGGGAAACGCAGGGTGCAGTGTCCTAGCCATCCAGGTGGTAACCAAGGCAGAGGTTTGTTCCACATAACCACCGAGTTCCATTAGGAGGCACCTGGTAAATGGCTAGCCATTGAGAACAGTCTGTTCCAAACCAGTCTTTTTCTTTAAGTATAACAGTATTTTGACATGACTCAAGGGATATCCATCCCATATTTCAAGTGCAATTTGGAAAATTTTGTTTCGAACGATTTCTTTGTTCCCAACATGAGGGTGCTGGCACATTTAAAGATCCATAACTAGGAGTAAGCCAAACATATCCATCCTAGATTTGTGTAAAACCTCCTATAGTTCTCACAGTATTATCTATCTTCTTTTGTTTCTTTACAAGTTGTTGGGATAACTGTCTGGTTTGAGTAAGAGGGAAAGAGTAGTGTGCCCTGTATCATTAACAGTATGGGCTACTGGCCATATTTCAGGATCATAATTAGTAATATGGAATGTACTGTGAATACTAGATTTTTCCATCAGAATAAATTGCTTTAAAGCTTTCCAATCCATATCTTGTAAGGGAGAAACCCACCAAGGAAACCCAGATGTACTAGGAAGGGGAAGTTGGCCACATATTCAACAACTGGACTGATTTTTGTGTGTGGCAAAGGAATGTACCCATTGTAAAAAAAGACGTTGCCATTAGAGGCCCATTCAGATGTGGATTGGAGGAATAAACACAGTATCAGGCAAATCTCAAATGGCATTTTTGTGATTAATCAAAAGGGTTTTGTAATCAGGTTCTAATCTATCTTATAGAATCGGTGAGTAAGATATTGGGGAAGGTAAAAATGTAAGGCAATCCAGAAATTAATAGTTGTAGCTATTAAATAGAGTTTAAACCTTACAAGGATTTAAATTAAGACATATAAGGTTAAGAACAGAGGCCTGGTCCAGAGTCTTGGGACAGTGGTCTACAACAGATGCCATCTTCTTCTCATCCTGGTTTGGAGATACTTGTATTGGTCAATCAGTCAAGTGTCAGAAAGGGAGTTGAAACTCACTCAGCCTAGTGGAGACCCAAGAGTTTCCTCAGTTTTTGTTGCTTTTTCTGAAAAGTAATTTAAGATCAGTTAGGGGTTCACAGGAATACTCTCTGGTAGAACTGCAGGCCCTCAACCTCCATGCCCACCCAATGTTTGGATGATTCGGTCCTTCTGTTTCCTGATGTCTGTGAATTTGAGAATTATAAAGGGGGTGAGGGAGGTCCTGGCTGGAAATGGGTGCTATTTTTACTCATGAGTGGTGTATCCAAGGCTTGACTCCCTTTAATCTTATTGAAGAATGTGTAAGCAGAAGGATTTCATAGGGTCCATTCCACTTAGGTTGCAGTTGGTCCTGCACAATACTCAATAAGAGTATTGACTTACTGAAGTCTTGAAGAGGACCCAATGCCCTACTTGTGCAATGCAGCGGAATGTCAGTAGGAAATATTAATTGGCTAGAAGCATATTTATGTATAGCAGATGAAGTAGCACCTAAGGACTGTACACATTTTATAGAATCCAATTCTCTTACAACATGACCATTTTCATAATCGCAATAATGTTTAGTCTTAAGGAAGGGTCTCCCATATAACATTTCATAACAGCTTAATTGAAGCCTACTTCTAGGAGGTACTTGTACCCTAAGTAGGGCAACTGGCAAGGCCTTGTCCCATGTTAAGTTGGTTTCCTGACGTATTTTGTTTTCTTTAAGGTATGATTCATCTTTTCAGTCTTCCTTGTAGACTGGAGTCTCCATGAAGCATGTCACTTCCATTGTATTCTGAGGGCTCCAGACAACTCTTGTGTTACCTTGGCTATGAAAGCTCCTCCATTGTCACTTTGAACTGAAAGAGGCAGTCAAAAACAAGGGATAATTTCTTTTAATAAGGCCTTTACCTCGGAAGCCTTTTCTGTTCTACACAGAAAGGCTTTAACCCATCCTGTGAAGATGTCCACAAAACCCAGCAAATATCTGTAATTTCCCATGGCCTTTGGCATAACAGTAAAGTCTATTTGCCAATCATCTCCTGGTTCTGTCCCTCAGGTTTGCACCCTTTTGATTATTGGTGGTGGCCTGGTTTGGGGATTGTTTCTGGCACAAATCAAGCAATTTTGTACTACCTTCTGGATAGTCCCTTGCATTTGTGGACCAACAATAAACTTGTAGCCAATGATAGGTTGCATCTCTCTCATAATGGGTTTCCTGACGCAGGTGAGTAATGATTTTTTCCATTAAGTGCTCGGATATAAGCACTAGTCCCTATTCATTATAAATCCAGACTTCTTCAGTTATTTGGTGCTGATTACCATCTGAGCCTTGAGGGTCTGCATGAAATCCCCATTCATCTGCTCTGTTTAAATCCATTTCTGATTACTGAGGCTTAACCAGGGAGAGATCCATACTCAGGATGAGTGCTAGGGCCTTAGGATTTGGATTTTTGGTTCTGGCTGCCTGTTTTGCAGCCCAACCAGCCAAATTATTTCCTTTAGCTAGGTAACTATCAGTCTTTTCATGGCCTGGGTAATGTACTATGGCCACTTCTTCTGGCATCATAACAGAATCTAATAAGACCAGTATCTCTTCTGCGTGTTTAATCTCTTTCCTACCTGAAGTTAGTAGACCTCTCTCTTTCCGTATAGCCCCACGTGCATCCATGACAGAGAAGGCATACTTGGAATCAGTATAAATGGCTACCATTCTCTTATCTCCAAGATGCAGGGCTCTCGGTAAGGCTATGAGTTCTGCCTTCCAAGCAGATGTACCTAAAGGGAGTGCTTCTGCTTCTAGGACTTCTTGATGAGTTACTATTGCATCCATGGCCTTTTGAAGGCCACAGTCCATGAAGCTCCTGTCAGTAAACATTTCCACACATGGATTCTCCAAAGGCTGGTCAGTCAGGTCAGGTCTGATAGAATAAATTTCTGCAGTGGGAAGCAAAGTGGCTGGATTTAGGGTGGACACCGCCTTTAATTTTACATTTGGGTTGTCCAGCAGTATGGCCTGATATTTGCCTAGCCTCCTGGAGGTGAACCAGTATCCTCCCTTTTGTTCCAAAAGAGGACGTACACATTGTCTATGAAAATAATCCATAACCAATCTATAAATGAAAATTTGGGTGAGTTTATTCTGAGCTAAAATCTAAGGACCATGGTCCAGGGTCTTTCTTCCCGAAGGAAGAAAGGGCACCAAAGAAGTGAGGTGTACAGAGTGGTTATATACCCCCAAACAGGATGTGTCACATATGATTGAAATGTCCCTCCCACAATAGTCACAAGATTGCCCTGTCAGCACAGCGATTGATGGACACAGCAGGTAGTGGGTCTGCTATCTCGGAGGGCATAGCAGGAGGCAAGTCTATTGTCTCGAGCTGGGTGGTCACAGGTGAGCACAGCAATCAGTTCCTAGCCTAAGAAAAGATGCTTAATCCTTAAGGAAATGCCAACTTGGGAGGGGGAGGGAATTTTCACCTTTATCTCAAGGGCCTTTGTTCTTGCCATAGGGAATGTCTAAAGCAGATATGCAATGCATGCTCAACACCACCGTCAGGCCCTTTTGGAAAGACAAGGTCAGGCCGAATTAGGTTTACACCAAATGGCTTCCTCATATACTCCAATATATTCTGTTACTTGCCATTTTTATTTGTCAACATTAAGGAGTGTGCACAGTTGTAAGCTGACCCAAAAGTAAACTTTTCTGCCTCCTGTAACAAGTCACAGGTGGCTGCTGCCGCCCTCAGGCAGACCAGCCATCCTTTAATGACTATACCCAACTGTTTAGAGAAGTAGGCAATAGGCCTTCTCATGTTACCCAAATTCTGGGTTAGTAACCCAAGGCTAACTCCTTGCCTCTCATGAACAAACAGGTCAAATGGCTTTCTAATGTCTGGGAGGCCTAGAGCAGGTCAAGTTAGGGGTCCCAGATATGGCAGAATCCTGCCATGTCTAGGAATCCTTGCAACCGTCTTCCGGTGGTGGGCACAGCCACCCTAGCTAATGTTTCCCTTCCGTCTGTTAGTAAGTTTCTTGCCCTTTTGATAACTCAGGTACTTTACAGTCAGTTGAGAAACTTGTGCTTTTCTCTTAGAGACTTTATATCCTCTTTCTTACAGAAAATTTAAAGTAAGGATTGTATTTGGTCTGAAGCTTCCTTAGTTTTACCAGCAATCAGTATGTCATCCATATTGGAGTAAGACCCCCTCACATAACTGGAGATCCTGTGAGTCTTTGGCTAAGGCTTCTCTGAAGATGGTGGGAGCATTTTTAAATTCTTGAGGAAGTACCATCCAGCAATACTGTTGTTTTACATTAGTCTCTGGATGGCCTTATTCAAAGGCAAACAGTTCCTGGGTCTCAGGACTTAGGGGTATGCAGTAAAAGGCATCCCTTCAGTCCAGAACTATAAACTTGCAGAAGTCTCCAGATAAAGTTGTAAGGAAAGCATAAAGATTTGGTACCACTGCATGTATAGCCTCTACAATTTGTTTAACGGCTCTCAAATCTTTTACAAAAGCATAGTCTCCAGTCCCAGGTTTTTGTACTGGCAGGATGGGAGTATTATACGGAGATTGACAAGGTCAGATTAATTGACATTTAAGAAAGGTGGCTATCAGAGGTTTGATACCCTCTTTCGCTTGTCTCTTTAAAAGACATCGTTTCAAATTTGGAGTCTTGGTGTCTGGGCAGAGTTTAACTGCTATTGGATCAACTGTCTTGGTTCGTCCTGGCCTCCTGTCAGCCCAAACATCTGCTCTTACCTTTTGCAGAATTTCTTCAGGGACTTCTGATTGAGGCTCTTCTTCCAGTTCCAGGACTTAGGGGTATGCCAAGCGCTGCTTGGAATGCACAGGCTCGATCTGGGAGGACTTTAATGTCTACTTTTTCTGGTGAAAAAGTCAATGGGCATTTAATTTTGTTAGTAGATCTCCTACCAGAAGTGGGATAGGGTACTCAGACATATACAGAGAGCTGTGCTTTAGATATGTTTTCCCTATGTGACACTTGAGCAGTTTGTAGTAAAGGCTATGAGAAACTTCCCCAGAGACACCAGTAATGGATGTGGTCTTGGGGGAGAAGGGGCCCTGCCTGGTGTTTAGTACAGATTAAGTAGCTCCAGTGTCAATTAGAAAGTCTATAAATTTTTTTTTCACTGCTGTTGTTACCCAGGATTCCTTGTGGGAAATGTTGATGGAGCTAATACAGTTTAAAGGAGCCCCTGGACCCCATCATTCCTGGTCATACCTGTCTGCGAGCTGTGGCATCTGGTGGGAGGCTTTGAGGCAAGCCTCTTTCCCTTCCTGCTGAGGAAAGTTGGGATGTTCTCATTTCCAGTGTCCGTCCTGCCTACAAATGACACATTGTCTTGGCCCCAGGCCTGAGTATCTCTTGTGGTTGGAAGGTGGGGACGCCAGGGGTCTTACCTGTGGCTGGCTGTCTTCTCTCATTGGCCTTGGAAGATTGTGACTGAGGGCTGCAGCAAGTAGAGTGGCTTGCTTCTGCATCTCCCACTGTTTTTGTTTCTCTTGTTCCTGGTCACAGCTGTTAAACACCTTAAATGCAATCTCAACAAGTTGTGAGATGGGCATCCCTAATCCCCCTTCCAATTTTTGCAGTTTCTTCCTTATATCAGGGGTACTCTATCTGATAAAGTTCATATTGACCAGCCTCATGTTATCCGGATGCTCTCAGTTGATGTCAGGACACTTTCTGTAGGCTTCAAAGACTCTCTCTAGGAAGACTGAAGGATTTTTGGTCCTTGTTGTTCCTCCTGGACCTTATTTAAGCTTTTCAGTTTTGGGACCCCCTTCTGCATTCCAGTTATCAAACAGGTTTTATGATGGTTTAACCTTGCCCGGCCTCTGGGGTCATTGGGATCCCAGCTTGGTCAACTCTGGGTATGGTCTCTATCGCTGGAGCACTGATTGGGTTGTTAGGTTGTTACTTGTGGAATCTCTCAGCCTCTTGATGAGCTTTGTCCAGTACCATCTTACGCTCCTCTGGGGTGAGGAGGATGTTCATAAGGGCCTGAATGTCAGTTCAGTTGTGGTCATATGTAGCAAAGATGGATGTAAATAAACTTTCCATCTTTTGGGGATCATCTCAATAAGTACACATGTTCTTCCAGTTGTATAAGTCCAAAGTTGAAAAGGGAACATGCACATACAAAAACCCTCTAGGTTGGCCTTGATCATCAAGACCTAGAAGGACTTGTCTTAGAGGGAATTGACCTGCCTGGGGTGGAGCGTTCCCTGGGCTGAATTGAGTACCCCAAAGAGTAGGAGGAGGGGAGACCATTCCTGTCTGACTATGGGGTAAAGCGGGGTATAAAGCCAAGCCAGTGGCTTCGGGGGAGCCATTATGCTCTTCCTGGTCATCTCCAACTGCATCTCTGATACACGGTGGAGGAGCTGTAGGAGAGAGCAAATGCAGAAAGACAAGGTCATCATCTGACTTTGCTTCTGGGAGAACAGGTTTTTTTTCTGTGGATCCTCCCTCTGAATCATGATCTTATATCCTTTTCTCAAATTCTTATTCTGATATAAAGACATAAAAGTCTGCACATAAGGGATCTCGTCCTGTTTCTTTTCTCTTTTACAGAATAGGTCTAATTGCAAGATGGTATTACAGTTCAGAGATCCGTACTGGGACCATACCTCATATGACCCCAGTGAGTATTGGGGCCAGCTTGTATTACAAAAGAAAATCATTTTCTCTTTCTTCATGGACTTATAACTGAACATTGTCCAATTTTTAAGAATGTATCCCAGTGGGCTACATTGGTATACTATTGTATACCTGGTATGCTATTTTTATTTCTCATTTTAAGGGGGATTTATCAATGTGGCTGCAATAAACGAGGTCCTTCTAAGGAGAGGTGTTTAACATCTGATAGTGCGTTTGTGGGAACAGCTTCCCCAAGAATAACAAAGGGGTTGTCTCTTTCCCTTACGTGTTCTAGCACCCACAAAATTCAGGTGATTTAAGCCCTGGGTGAGCTGCCATGACTGATTGCCTCACCACAAACAATGAGGGCCCAATAGGATATGTTCTTCAGGTGGGGTACCTCTGAGGCTGTTGCACATCATGGGCAGACACTCCCAACACCTCTATAAAGTTCCTAGTCACCTGGGAACATCCTGAAGGACCAGAGGGAAGAGTGCCTCTTTTCTTCAGAGTCAGAAGACCCTCACAAGATTAATCTTAAAAGCAGTTTGTTGCGGTCACTGAGAAATTCAGTCCCCAACTAGCCAATTTTAACAAATAACAGAGTTAAACATAGACAAACATGAATAGACACAGAGATCCAATACTTTGGGATGGTAACCCAGGGTACTGTGGGACCCTACCCCAGAGCTCAGTACTCTAACCTGATCCTTTTGAGTGCCCTAGAGGCTATAACCCTTTTATGTTGTCTCGCTTAAACTCATAATCCTAGCCTCACGATTTTAACCCAGAAAACAAATCACACCAATGGGGCCTCTAACCCATGATCCTTAGAAGATATTAGACAATTTTAGGCACAGGTGTGTTTTGATGAGGTCACTCACCCAAAAGACGTGTGATCCTGGAGCTGTTTTCTTCTCCCAAAGGAAAAAAAAAATGCCTTAGGGCTGGAGTACCGCAGCGGTAAATGGGAATCTGATCAGTCGAGCCTCTGGACAAAATTGTCTAGGGCACTGCTTAGGGTCAAGGAAAAGAGCCCACACGCTGCCAGGGGTGTCAGAGCCTTGGGCAGGTGGTCACAGGACCTACTCCAGCTAGAGTCACCAATTGTTACCATACAAAATTGGGGTTCTCTGCCCGATGTGCATAAACAAGCCGATTAATTATGGCATCAGCCTTTGGGGGAGAAATCAGCTTTTATTCTGTGAGAGTGATCTGCAGGGAGACAGGGGGCATGTGCCCTCAGATCTGTCTCCCCTGTTAAGTATTTGGGACAAAATTTAAGACGTTAGGGAAAACAGGCTGGCACACAGAAATACTGGTGGGACAGGTTTTGATTGGTGGGTTTCTGGCATTTACAGTAAGGTTTTAAACATTTATGACAGGGTTCTAAACATTTATGATGAGGTTCTAAACATTTATGATGGGGTTCTAAACGTTTTTGCGTGAGGTGGGGAAGGCATTTTAACACTGGCTCTTCCTGAATGACCGACCCCTTGCTTCTGATAAGAGTCTAACTTCAAGTTCGGGTCATGCCCCTGTCCTTGGGTTCCGTGGGAAGGAGGGTCTTTGGTTTTGAGGTCACTTCAGGTCATGATTTCTTCTTTTGTGCATGACCTGGTGAAAGACAATCCTTAATCACTTTATTGATGAGGGAGGGGGTCTGTTTGAACTGGCTCCAAATGGGCCCATGGTGACATTTTTTCTTTCAGCGTTTTAAATAGGTCACCCCACTGCCTTGTTTCAATAATTTCTGATGAGAAATTGCCTATTAATCTTAATAGGAATCCTTTGTACATGATAAAGTGTTTCTTTCCTTCTGCTTTCAAGATTCTCCTGTTGTCTTCATCTTTCAACAGTTTAAGTATCATGTGGCTTAGTGTGGATCTCTGAGTTTATCCTACTTGGAGTTCATCAAACTTCTGGAATGTGTAGCTTCGTGTCATTCTAGAATTTAGGCAGTTATTTCTCATTTCTTCAAATACTTTTTCTGTCCCTTTCTCTCCTCTCCTCTGGGACTCTGATTACGTGTATGTTGGCATGCTAATGGTGTTCCCAGGCCTCATAAGCTTTCTTCATTTATTTCATTCTTTTTTCTTTCTGCTCCTCAGACTAGATAATTTCAGTTGATCTATCTTCAGGTTTGCTGATTCCTGCTACTACCTGCTTAAATCTGCTCTTCAACCTCTCTAGTGAATTTTTTTATTTCAGTTACTGTATTTTTTGGCACTGGAGTTTCTATTTGATCTTATTATAATTTCTACCTCTTTATTGATTCTCTTTTTGGTAAGACATTGTTCTCCTGGTTTCCTTTGCTTCTTCAGCTACGGTTTCCTCTAGCACTTTGAGTGTAGTTAAGACAAGTGATTTAAAGGCTTTGTGTAGAAGTCCACCATCTGGGCTTCCTCAGGGATAGTTTCACGTTTATTTGTGTTTTCCTATAAACGTGTTATACTTTCTTATGTCTTTATATACCTCATAATTTTTTGTTGAGAACTGGGTACTTGAATGTGATAACTCTGGAAATCAAATTATTCACCTATTTCCAGGTTTCTTGTTGCTATATATTGTGGATCACAGTTTTTCACGTTTACTGAGTTTTCTAAACTATTTTTATAAAGACTACTTTTTGCTATGTGTAATGTCTTAAGTCTCTGTTCTGTTAGCATAGCAGTCAGCTAGTGATTTGAAGAGATTTCCTTTAACCATTGGAGACAAAAAGATAAATTAATACTCTAAGACTTTGCTGTTGACTCTGAATTGAGGCACTGTTTCAATGCTTAACCAGGCTGTTTACAACTCTGCCTTAGGCTTCATTTCCTGATTGTGTAGATCTAAAAGATCAGCTGAGGTAAAAGCTAAGGTCATCTCAGGTCTTTTCAGAGCATATTTCTGGTCCTTGGCATGTGTGGCCTTCTAGATTCTTTGATATATGTGGGAGCTTTACAAAGCCCTTATTCCCCCATGTATCCCCTTCCCAACCCTCTGCCTTTCTGGGCTTTCTGGTTTATCTGCTGCTTGCCCCTTCTATTATACCTTGCCCCAGGTGGCTGAAAATAGTGTTCTTTAAATGCATTCAACAGTGCTGTTATGAAGGCTGTTAAACCCCTAAGAAAGTGCTGAGGAGGGTGAAACAAAGGCAAACCTTTGAGGCAATCCAAAAGGAGCCACCAGACAGGTCAAAACACACAACCAAAATTCTTTTAGAACAAAGTTCATGTTGCCTCCCTTTGACATCAAGAGGCTTGCACCAGGAATGTGGGCCACCTTTTCCACAGCCTTCTCAGAGCTGGGGCGTGGGGATGGTAGGTGGGTAGGTAAAAATGTCACAGTTTTCTCTTACTGAAATTTAGCAGCTTCTTTCTTCATTAAACACTCCTCTGGTTGTTGTAGGGTTTTAAAAGTTGGATTCTAGAGTTCAGAAAACCTTGACTCTAGGGCCAGCCCCATGGCCGAGTGGTTAAGTGAGCACACTCCTTGTTGGTAGCCCATGGTTTTGCTGGTTCAAATCCTCAGCACAGACACAGCACCACTCATCAAACCATCTGAGGCAGCATCCTACATAGCACAACTAGAAAGACCTGCAACTAGGATATACAACTATGTACTGGGGGCTTTAGGGAGAAGAAGAAGAAAAGAATAAAAGAAAAAGAAGATTGGTAACAGATGTTAGCTCAGGTGCCAATCTTTAAAAAAAAAGAAGAAAACCTTGAATCTGACAGTTTTTGCCAAGTTAATAGTAGCTTTAGCAGAGGAATTGTTTTTTGGTGTTCCTTACTCCACCATTTTCAATGACGTCACGATTATATATATATTTTTTTTGGTGAGGAAGATTGGCCAGCTAACATCTGTGCCAATCTTCCTCTACTTTGTATGTGGGATGCCTCCACAGCATGGCTTGATGAGCAGTGCACAGGTTCATACCCAGGATCTGAATCTGCAAGCACTGGGCCAATGAAGCAGAGTGCGTGAACTTAACCACTATACCACTGGGTCTACCCCACAATTATCTTTTAAAGAGATTTAAATAGCAATAAAAAAAATAGTATATAGATGCACATGTAGTTACCACTTCTGTTGCTCTTTATTTCATATTCTTATCCAGTATAATTTTCCTCTTGCCTGAAGGGACTTAAACATTTATTGTAGTGCTTATCTTCTGGTTATAAATTCTGTTAAATTTTGTATGTCAAAGAAAAGTCTTCATTTTTCCTTCACTTTTGAAAGATATTTTCACTGGGAATAGAATTCTAATTTGACCATGTTTTCCGTACAGTACTTTAAAGATGTTGTGTCTCTATTTCCTCACGTTTCCAGTGCAAAAACTGGTGTCATTCTTACCTTTATTGCAGTAATGTGTATTTTTTCCCCCTCTTAATGCTTTTAAGATTTACTGTTCTTATCTTGTTTTAAGCGATTTTAGGTTATTTTGACCTACAATAGTAAAGTGATTTGGGCCAGAAATCCATAGGAGAACTGGCTGATGCTTACAAATTCTAAAAACAGTTGTTTGCTCCTTGTTTTGCTGGCTCACAGCCAAATATCCTTAGAATAATTTTATATTGGTGGATGAAGCAGATTTTCTTTTGTTTCACATTAGTCTAAGAATACAGATCTTAAGTTCCCAGATTGGGGAGACTGAGGATGTTTCCTATTATATTCCCCACATGAACAAGCTCTAGACATCATCTCTTGTCTACTACAGCTTGTGAACCCAAGAAAACCAAAGGTAAGATTTTCCAGATTTGGCAAATGCCCTCAAAATAAAGGCAATGTTCCTCTGAATTCCAGCTTACATTTATATTTTACCCTACATGATCATTCTCTTGTTTATTCTTCTATACTTTTGGATGCTTTTTATATTCTATTATTTTCAGTGGATGAGACAGCCTTAAAACCTCATTACTGAAAATGGAACCACCATTAACTACTTAATAATAACTACTATTTACCTGACCAGAGCAGGTGCTAGGATGCAAGTTCATCTAAACCAACACTACTTGTAGTCTATGACCCAGTGATGGACTGTACACTGTTTGTTACCAGGTCACAATGAGAACTTGAAAATGAGAATAAACAGGTAAACCTATACCTTACCTTGTCCCACGGCAAAAGACAAGCAAAATATAAAGATTTATATTGTGCTATCAGGTCTACTAAAAATAGTTAGCTGACCAGCTGTTTGTAGACCACACTTTGAGTAGCACTGCCTCTAAACTAAGCAACTAGGAATTTCTTCTTTAGTCTTTTGGAGTGATCACATAAAAACTGATAAATGCTAGAGATTCTTTCCCTAGAAATATATCCAAGAACAAGGAAGCATAAAAACTTATATGTCAGTGTGCACACAGGATGTTTAAAATCTAGTAAGAAACAAACACAGGGAGAAGATGTTTTGAGTAATCACTTCACCAGCCCATGATTCTACTCCACTTATTTGTGAGTATAAACTGGAATAGCCAAAAGCTGGACCCTATAATGGACTATCAAGGGAATAAGTTGAAAGATGCCATTTATTATTCACTAGTTCATCCAACAAAACCTAAATGCCTACATTATATTAGTTCAAGTTCTAGTGTCAGATCAATGTTCCAGGAACTGACTTTTTAAGTTCTTTCTCCATCCCCTGACACCATGTCTCAATACCAGCACCATTTTCCTACATTAGAGGAATTCCACAGTTAAAAAGCCTTGGTAGGAGGCAGAGACCACTTCCCCCCTAAAAGAGAAAAATTTACTTTCCAAACATATTTGCACTTGGAAACAGGGTTGAGCCTTCAGCTCCACCAGTCAAATGACTACATGGCAGATTCAGGACATGGTGACAGAGAAAGGCTAGAGCTACACAGATATACTTCCACAAGGGTGGTGTGAGTGGCAGTAGCAATGTCTAGTTTCCAGGAGCAGCAGCGACAGCAGTCCTAGCCCCAAGGCTTCAGTGTTCAGCATTAGGAATGTCAATGGTGTGAGCAATGACATCTGTGCCCAGCAGCAGGGGCAGTGGTTCCTATGTGGGACCTGACCTAGGGTGGGATTGATGGTTTTATTTCTGGCTGTGTAGCCTCAAGCCTGGTTCTGTGGCTTTTCCTAAAATAAAATTAGCCCCCAATATCAATACACACACACACATATATATCTTTATGTCTAAATTAGAAAAATTTGGATTCCATTGTTTATACCAAGAACTGAATGAGAAATCCACCTGGGGAATAGTTTCAGAGAGCAAGCATTCAGAGATTTTCCTTATGTTGATCTGAGAACCACTTCATGAGTCTTTTACTTGGCAAGACCCCTTGGTAGAGAAAACGATATGTATCTCCCAACATCATGTCTCATAATTGACCATGTATGTCCTCCCTTTTCCTTCCCAGGAAAAAACAACATTTAAATGTTAAAATATAAACTGAGGCATATTAAAAATTTTAAGAGTTTATTTGAGCAAAAATGGATTTGAACCAGGCAGTGTTAAACCGGAAGTGGTTAAGAGTCCTCTGCAGATAGGAGCTGAGGGAAAGACTTATGTAGAGATTGACTATAGCTTAAAGCCTAGTGGGCTGCTTGTGATTGGTTGTCCATAGCGTTTTGATTTTGTAACCTTGAGGCATTTACAGGCTTAGACTTTGGTTTTCTTATGTAGGCCACGAAGGCATTAGAACCACCTGTCTAATGGCCTCCTTTTTTAATTTAATGATGTGGATTTAAGACCCTTTCCCCACTGTAGATCCTCTCTAATAACTGACCTCAGTGGTTCCAAATCTGGCTGAGACCAGGATTGCTTGTGGGCTTGTTAAAAAATACTCAGGCCTCTCCCCAGACCTACCATTTCAGAGTATTGAGCTCAAGGCCCAAGAATCACTTATTTAACAAGCTCTAGATGGGGGCTGATGCATAGCCATAGGGGAATTGATAAGAAATTTTCATGTATTGAGGTATATGAGATAGCTATTCTAGTTTAAATTTGATTCGGCCCGAACTAAAGAAGCCTGACTTATGGCCTGTCAAACATACCTTGTACATCTGCTTTAACCGTTAAAGATAAGGATGCATTAAAGATTATCTCAAAGTAAAAGAATGCATTCTTTGAAGATAAGGATGCATGATGCATACTTCCTTTCCTACAACCCTAGTACCAGTACTCCTGAAGGTAAGTTTCCTTTCCCAGACATCAGGGTCACATTGACCTGCTAATCTGTACCTAAATATCTCTTTGAAACTTTGATGAATATGTATCCTGGGCACGTTTGATGTATGTTCCTTGTTCTAAAGAGATATAAAACTGTACTGAAAACCATGCTTCTCCAAACACTTTCTTCCCTTGTGGAGACTGCATTCCTGGGCTAGTCCTCAGCTTGGCTCAAGTAAAACTCACCTTATCTGTCTTATCTATAGATTGGTTATTGGTTATTTGCATCAGCAGAATCCCTGATCGATGTTCTTCACATTAAAAGTGTGATCTGAAGACAAGCAGAATGTGCACCAACAGTGACCTCATTATAAATACAGACTTTCATGCTCTACTCCAGACCACTTAAATCTTAACGAGATGCTCAGGGGATTCCTGTGCCCAGGAAAGTTTAAGACTCCGTGGTCTCCATGCCTTCTAGATGCAGTGTCAGAACTGCACAGTCTGCTCTGGGTGTGGGGTCTGATCACATCCCTTAGCACTGGGGGGTCCAGGGTTCAGTCCTTGCTCCTTTCTCTTCTATTGTAATCACTCCTTTGGTGACCTCACCTGTTCTCAAGGATTTAAACATAATTTAGGTAGTGTCACCTCCTGTGATAATGTGATTTATAATAAGAAATATAGCTTTGGTATTAGTCCCCATTCCAGGTACAGAGCTCCTAAAACCCTTGGAATTTCCTAAGTGTTGAGAGGGAAGAAGCTGTCCTTTGCTATGTTAATGAGTGACTTTGAGAATGCCCCCAGGTAACCTAAGGATGAGACTTGGTTGCCCAGGAAACCATCACTATGATTAGAGGGTTGGAACTTTCAGTTTCACTCCCCTACACACTACCCCCAAGACCATTTGGGAAGGGAGAGGGGCTGGAAACAGAGCCCAATCACCAATGGCATGTGATTTAATCAATCATGCCTTTGTTGGGAATCGTCTACGAAAACCCAAACGGACAGAGTTCAGAGAGCATCCAGATTGGTGAACACATGGAGATTCAGAGAAAGCAGCACACCTGGAGAGGGCATGGAGGCCCCACACCTTTTCCCCATACCTTGCCCTATGCATCCCTTCCATCTGGCTGTTCCTGAGACATATCCTTTTCTCACAAACTTGTAATCTAGTAAGTAAGTGTTGCTCTGAGTTCTGTGAGCTGCTCTAGCAAATTAACCTAACTCAAGGAGGTTGTTAGAACCTCTGATCTACAGCCAGTTGGTCAGAAGCCCAGGTGACAACCTGGACTTGTGATTGGCATCTAAGCTGTAGAGAGGTGTGCAGTCTTGTAGGACTGAACCCTTAACCTGTGGGATCTGATGCTATCTCCAGGTAGATAGTGTCAGAATTGATTTGAATTGTAGGACACCCAACTGGTATTGGAGAATTTCTTGGTAGTGTGGGAGAAAATACAAATTGGAATTGGGTGCAGAGTTAGACCTCCCAAATCTATTTTTCCAGCTCATATATTTGTCCTAAATCATAGATTCATATGTCCAACTGACTACCCAACAACCTCATCTGCATTTCTAATGGACATCTCAGATTAAACATCTCTTAAACTGAACGCCTGTGATGCTCCCTCCTCAAATATGCTTCTTCCAGAATCTCCCTGATATCTGCTATAGCAACTCCATCTTTCTACTTGCACAGTCCGAAACTTTGGTTATGCTCCTTGACTCCTCCTTCCCATACTCCAGATTTAATCAAGTAGGAAATGTATAAGTCCATCTTCAAAATGTATCCAGAACCAATCACTTCCACTATTTCCACTGCTCACACCCCAGGCAAAGCAACCAAGATCTCTAGCCTAAAACACTCCATGAATTTTCTAGTTTTCCCTGCTACCTCACTTACCCTTCACCTGTGGATTCTGTTCTTAGCACAGCAGCCAGGGCGATCCTTTTAAAAGAGAAGTCATACCATGTCTCTCTTCTGCTCAAAGCTGTTTGGCAACTTCCCATCCCACACAGAAAAGTCAAACCCTCACAGTATCTTCACTGCCTATATGGTCTGGCCATACCTCTAACCTCATCTCAGTTACTCTCTGCTCCAGCCATACCAGCCTCCTACCTCTTGCAAGAATACACAGAAAAACTCCCACCTTAGTGCATTCACACTGGAGCTTCCCTTTCCTGGAAAGAACTTTCCCCGGACATCCTTGTGCTTATAGTACATAGTCTGTCTCTTCCAACTACAACATATGCTCCACAAGGCCAACAACATCTGTCTGTTTTTACTTCAATGATGTTCCCCAGAAGCAAAAGTAGTATGTCATATACCCAGCACTCAACAAATATCAGGTGAATGAATGATTAGTGTAAAGCAGCTCCCTGTTCTAGAGACAGTATCTTTATTAACATAGCTTCAGATCAAATGCTGTTTTGTAGCAGCTACAGCACATCATCCATTCATATTGCCATCAATGCCACCTGTACTTTTATCACAAGTGCTGCTCTCCCCTCCTCCCCATAGCCCCCACTTCTGACACTAGCCCTTCTGCACACAACAGCACACAATTTAATTTCTCTCTTCAAAAAAGAACAGAGGAGAGTGATGTCAGCATCATGGTAGAGTGAGTTGTTCCCTTTGTCTCTCCCCTCTAAGTTACAGCTAAATGGACATTCATTAACCAACAGAAGATTCCCTACACAGCACAATAGGATGTCTGGGAGATCCACACTGCATACGTCTGAAGATAGGAGGACTGGATCCCTGGGAAGCAGTGAAACTAGGTGAGCAGACCTCTCCCTGTCTCCAGTGGTAGTGATCAAGATCATGGATCCTCAACAGTGGCCAGCATGACTGTCAGGGGAGGGAGGGGCAGCTCAGCCTGCATAAAATGCTTTAGGAGTGGTAGCCAAGCCCACAGGAGTGCCCACCATGCCATGGGAGCACCGCCTGTGGGAATGCTCCCTACCAAGTGGTGTTGTTCAACCCTCACAAAAGAGCCCCCACTAAGCACAGCAGCTCAGCTGAGCCAGTCTGAGTGAGAAAGAAAGCATCCCTCCCCTCCCACTTAGCACACCAGCTCGGTTGGTCACCTGCTGAGCACAGTGATACCATATCAGAGCAACCGACTGGTGGAACACAGAGGCCCTGCCTGTGCTTGTGTATGTGACCTGCCAAGTGGCTGCAGCAAGTGTGTAAATGCAGAGGAGCCCTACGAGCACAACTTCCAGCAGATGGGGTGGGATCAGAAAATACAGCTCCTGTCTCCCCCTCCAGCAGAGGCAGGTGGAATCTGTGACCTGACACTACCACAAATGTGCTGGCAAAGGATGAATTCATCAAACACCATGAAGAACCACATTAACACTTCAGACAAGAAGGAAAATGACAAGTCTCCAGAAACCAACCCTGAAGTCAGAGAACTTTACAATCTAAATGACAGAGAATTCAAAATAGTTGTCATGAAATTCAGTGAGTTACAAGAAAACTAAGACAGTTCAATGAGCTCAGGATAAAATTATTGAGCAGAAAAAATACCTCACCAAAGAGATTGGAACTCTAAAAAAAAAAGCAACAACAGAAATTCTGGATATGAGGAACACAATTAATGAGATAAAAAATAATCTAGAATCCATACAAAATAGAGCTGATGCTATGGAGGAAAGAATTAGTGATTTAGAGGATAGAAATAAAGACATGCTTCAGGTGGAAGAGGAGAGAGAATTAAGATTTTTAAAAAATGAAGAAATTTCTGAGAAATATAACTTAATTAGGAAAAGCAACATAAGGATTATAGGTATTCCAGAGGGATATGAGAGGAAGAAAGGAGGAGAGAGAACGTTCAAACAAATAATAGTTGAGAATTTCCAAAATCTGGGGAACGAGGTGGAATTACAAGTAAAAGAAGCTAATAGAACTCCTAGTTACATCAACGCAAGATCTTCTCCAAGGAATATAATGGTAAAACTAGCAAAAGTCAATGACAAAGAAAAGATGTTAAAGACAGCAAGGCAGAAGAAAATAAACTACAAAGGAACCTCTATCAGGCTTTCAGTGGATTTCTCAGCGGCAACTATACAGGATAGGAGAGAATGGAATTATACATTCAAAATACTCAAAGACAAAAACTTTCAGCCAAGGATACATTATCCAGTGAAACTGGATTATTATTATTCAGATACAATGAAGAAATAAAAGCTTTCTCAGATGAACAAAAGCTGAGGGAGTTCATCACCACTAAGCCTGCCTTACAAGAAACATTGAAACGAGCCCTCCCATCTGAAACTAAATAGGGAAGGTTTACAAAACCCTGAGCAAGGAGATAAAGAGACAGAAACAGAAAATTGCAGCTCTATATGAGAATAGTTTAGTAAGCACTTAATTATAATACAAAAGACAAAGAGAAGGAAAGCATCAAAAGTAACTATAAACACTTCAAATTAGTCACAAACTCACAACATAGAAAAGAACAATTTGTGACAACAATAACTTAATAAGGGGAAGAGGTTAGGGATGGATCCTGCTTAAGCTAATGGAGACAACAAGCTATCGGAAAATGGACTATCTCGGGGGCCAGCCCAGTGATATAGTGGTTAAGTTTGGCATGCTCCGGTTTGGCGGCCAGGTTCAAAGTTCTGATCCTGGGTGTTTACCTACATCACTCATCAAGCAATGCTGTGGCAGCGACTCACATGGAAAATTGAAGAAGATAGGCACAAATGTTATCTCAGGGCCAATCTTCCTCAAGCAAAACGAGGAAGATTTGGAACAGATGTTAGCTCAGGGCCAATCTTCCTCACCAAAAAAAAAAAAAAAGGACTATCTCATCTATGAGATCTTTTATACAAATCTCTTTGTAACCACTAAACAAAAATTCAGAGCAGAGTCAGAAATCAAAAATAAACAGAAAAGTGAGAAAACCATCACAGAGAACCACCACACAGAAATGGCAGTTAGAAATACAAGAGAAAAGAAACAATAGAAATATAGAACAACTGAAAAAAGAGATTAAATGGCAGTATTAAACCCTCATACATCAAAAATCACTCTAAATGTAAATGGATTGAATTCTCCAATCAAAACACACAGAATAACTGGATGGATTTTTAAAAACGACCCAATAATATGCTGATTCCAGGAAATACACATCAGCTCTAAAGACAAAAACAGGCTCAGAGTGAAGGCATAGAAGACAATTCTCTAAGCAAATGGCAAGCAAAAGAAAGCAGGTGTTGCCATAATTATATCACACAAAGCAGACTTGAAGATAAAAAAGACAATGAGAGACAAAGAGGGGCTGTATATAATGATAAAAGGGACATTCCACCAAAAGAACATAACACTTATGAATATATAGGCACCTAACACAGGAGCACCAAGGTATATAAAAGAGCTACTAACAGACAAAAATGGAGAAATGGAAAGCCACACAATAATAGTAGGGGACCTCAACACTCCATTTACATCAATGGATAGATCATCCAACAGAAAGTCAACAAGGAAACAACAGTCTTCTTAGCACCTACAAACATAGGTTCCCTACCTACCACACAAGAGGGGCCAAATAAAAACTGGAATGCCAGGCTTATGGCAAGGAAAGGGTTTTTATTTTGGATGATATCAGCCAGGAGATGAGAATGAGCTCTCAAATTTGTCTCATCTCTTCTCGTCTCCCCAAAAGATGGGAGGCCAGGGGTTTTAAAGGTTTGTGAGGAACGTGGCTGCTTGTAGAGAGGGGGGAGTCAGTGGCCTTGCTGGTCAAAGCTTTCCCACCAGCCTGCATTCAGCCTTGGGAACTGCTTGCAAGGAGGAGAAGGAGATGATAAAGAACCCAGGTGGCTGTCCTTGGCCATGTGTCTCTACAGTGGAGAGTGGATTCTGGAACCAGGGAGCCAGGGAGTAAGCAGGGAAAGAGTGCTTTGGTTTTAACCCCATATATGCTGGATTTAATCTAGGGGAACCAATATCACGGCCGGTATCAGCCTTAAATGAAAGACTAGACAAGATGGACTTAATAGAACATTCCATCCAAAACAGGAGAATACATATTCTTCTCAAATGCCCATGGAACATTTTCAAAGATAGACCATATGTTAGGAAACAAGGCATGTTTCAAAATTTAAGAAGACTGAAATCATTTTAAGCATCTTTTCTGACCATAATGCTATGAAACTAGAAATCTACTACAAGAAAAAAGCTAGGAAAGTCACATCTATGTGGAGACTAAAAACATGCTACTGAACAACCATGGGATCAATGAAGAGATCAATGGAGAAATAAAAAAAATACTTGCAGACAGATGAAAATGAAAACACAACATACCAACTCCTATGGGATGCAGTAAAAGCAGTTCTAAAAGGGAAATTTATAGCAATACAGGCCTTATCTGGACAAACAAGAAAAATCTCAAAGAACTAATCTTAAACTACACTAACAGAACTAGAAAAAGAAGAAAAGACAAGGCCTAAGTCAGTAGAAGGAGAGAAATAATAAAAATTAGAGCAGAAATAAATGAAATAGAGACTAAAAAAACAATAGCAAGCATCAACAAAACTAAGATCTGGTTCTTTGAGAAGATAAACAAAATTGACAAATCCTTAGCCAGAACTTGCTAAGAAAAAAAGAGAGAAGGCTGAAATAAATAAAATTAAAAATGAAAGAGGAGAAATTACAACAGACACCACAGAAATACAAAAGACTATAAAAGAATACTATGAAAAACTGTATGCCAACAAATTGGATAACTTAGAAGCAATGGATAAATTCTTAGCCTCATAAAACTTCCCAAAACTGAATCAAGAAGAAATAGAGAATCTGAATAGCCAAATCACAAGTAAAGAGATTGAAACAGTAATCAAAAATCTCCCCAGAAACAAAAGCCCAGGACCAGATGGCTTCTCTGGAGAATTCAACAAACATTCAAAGACGACTTAATACCTATCCTTCTCAAACTATTCCAAAAAATTGAAGAAGACAGAATGCTTCCTAACTCATTCTATGAGGCCAACATTACCCTAATACTGAAACTAGACATACACATCACAAAGAAGGAAAATCACAGGCCAATATTACTGATAAACATAGATGCAAAAATCCTCAACAAAATATTGGCAAACCGAATACATCAAAACATTAAAAGGATCATACACCATGATCAGCTGGGATTTGTACCAGGGGTACAGGGATGTTCAACATCTGCAAATCAATCAATGTGATACATGACATTAACAAAATGAGGAATAAAAATCACATGATTGTCTCAACACATGCAGAGAAAGCATTTGACAAGATTCAACATCCATTTATGATAAAAACCCTCAATAAAATAGGTGTAGAAGGAAAATACCTCAACATAGTAAAAGCCATATATAACAAACCCACAGCCAACTTCATAGTTAGTGCAAAACTGAAAGCCATCACTCTGAGAAAAGGAACAAGACAAGGGTGCCCACTCTTGCCACTCCTATTCAATACAGTACTGGAGTTTTTGGCCAGAGAAATTAGGCAGGAAAAAAAAAAGGTATCCAAATTGGAAAGGAAGGAGTAAACCTCTTGTTGTTTGTGGACAATATGATTCTATATACAGAAAATTCTAGAGAACCCACCAGAAAATTATAAGAAATAATCAACAACTATAGCAAAGTTGCATGGTAAAAAATCAACTTACAGAAATCAGTTGCATTTCTATACACTAACAACAACTAGCAGAAAGAGAACTCAAGAATACAAACCTATTTATAATCACAACAAAAGGAATAAAATATCTAGGAAGAAACTGAGCCAAGGAGGTGAAAGACCTATACAATAAAAACTATAAGACATTATTGAAAGAAATTGATGATGATGTAAAGAAATGGAAAGATAGTCCATACTAATGGATTGGAAAAATATACATAGTTTAATGTACATATTACCTAAAGCAATCTAAAGATTCAACGCTATCCCAATCAGAATTCCAAGGACATTCTTCATGGAAATACAGCAAAGAATCCTAAAATTTATATGGAACAACAAAAGATCCTGAATAACCAAAGCAATCCTGAGAAAAACAACCAAAGCTGGAGGCATTATAATTCCTGACTTCAAAATACAGTACAAAGCTATAGTAATCAAAGCAGCATGGTACTGGCACAAAAACAGACACACAGATCAATGGAACAGAATTGAAAACCCAGAAACAAAACCACACATCTACAGATAGCTAATCTTCAACAAAGGAGCCAAGAACATACAAAGGAGAAAGGAAAGTCTCTTCAATAAATGGTATTGGGAAAACTGGACAGCCACACGCAAAAGAATGAAAGTAGATCATTTTCTTGCACCATCCACAAAAATTAACTCAAAATGGATTAAAGATTTGAGTGTAATACTTGAAGCCATAAAACTCCTAGAAGAAAATATAGGCACTACACTCTTTAACATTGATCTTAGCAGCATTCTTTTTGAATACCATGTCTACTTAGGCACAGGAAACAAAAGAAAAGATAAACAAATTGGACTTCATCAGATTAAAAAGTTTCTGTAAAAAAGGAAACCATGAACAAAATGAAAAGACAACTCACCAACTGAGAGAAAATATTTGCAAATCATATATCCAACAAGGAATTAATTTCCAAAAGATATAAAGAACTCATACAACTCAACAACAAAAAAAATCCAATCAAAAAATGGGCAAAGGATATGAAGAGACATTTTTCCAGTGAAGATATAGAGATGGCCAACAGACACATGAAAAGATTTTCAACATCACTAATCATTAGGGAAATGCAAATCAAAACTGCAATGAGATATCACCTCACACCTGTCAGAATGGCTATAATTAACAAGGCAAGAAATAGTAAGTGTTGGAAAGGATGTGGAGAAAAAGGAACCCTCATACACTGCTGGTGGGAATGCAAACTTGTGCAGCTACTATGGAAAACAGTATGGAGATTTCTCAAAAAAATAAAAAAATAAAAATACCATAGGATTCAGTTATCCAACTACTAGGTACTTATCCAAAGAACAGGAAATCAACAATACAAAGAGATCTATGCACTCCTATATTCATTGCAGCATTATTCATAATAGCCAAGATGTGGAAGCCACTCAAATGCCCATCAACTGATGAATAGATGAAGAAGATGCAGTATACATGTACAGTAGAATGCTCCTCAGCCACAAAAGAAGACAAAATCGTCCCATTTGCAACAACATGGATGGACCCTGAGGTTATTACGTTAAGTGACATAAGCCAGACAGAGAAAGACCAACACCCTATGAATGCACCCATATGTGGAAGATAAACAAACATATGGATAAAGAGAATAGATTAGTGGGTGGTTACCAGAGGGGGAGGGGGTTGGGGGGTTAGGCAAAAGGGGTAAAGGGGCACATATGTATGTTGATGGATAAAAACTAGACTATTGATGGCGAGCACGAGGTAGTCTATACAGAAACTGATAGATAATAATGTACATGTGAAATTACATGATGTTGTAAATCAATATGACCTCAATAAAATAATAAGAAAAAATAAATAAATAAAAGGGATGAAAATTTGCTGAAACAGCAAAGTGGAGATTACTGACTGAAAAAAAGGAGATCATGAAGCAGTACATATAATGTGATCACATTTTGGTAAAAAAATTCTTACATGTAAGAAAATCACTTGGAGGGATACAGCAAGGTATTAATAGTGGTAGGAATGTGGTTTTTATTGTTATATTTTTTTTTCTGTATTTTTAAATTTTCCAGAATGCACAGGTATTGCTTCTGTAATAATAAATTATTTAATAAATAAAACGGGCACAAAGAAAGAAAAAGAAAGAACAGAACAATCCTCAACTGATGGGTCCTACTTTTCATCTAAATATAAATATAAATCCTCGAGTTTGGACTGGAGCCAGAACTAGAATTACTAGAGCGAAGGGCAGGGAGAGACAGTAGGTGAGCAGAGAAGGATAGAACCATGATAAGAATTCATCAAAGACAAGGAACTCTAGACAAGAAATTGTCTGCTAATTCCAGAATTTAATTTCTTTTAAAAGGTTGAGGGAGAGGATGGAAAAAGCAATCCAGGGAAAAGCCTAAGAAGGAGGACAAGAAGTCGCTGACTCTGAAAATTCATCTCTCCATACCAGAGGGACTCCTGTTTGCAGGGCCTGCCCTGAGCACTGTGGGGACAATGACAGCCAAAACGACTCCTGCTGCTGTCAGAGATGGGGACACCCAAAGGAGAATGAGACCAGAACTTGCAACGAGAAGAAAAGGCATAATCCTCAAATGAAACAAGAAAAAAGTTAAATTCACAAATTGAGGCCCGAGGGCTGGGGACCTAGGCCTGAGCCTAGGCTGACCCAGCCCCATGAAGGCCCTGCTGTCCACCATCTTGGAGACAGGACAAGGCCCAGGTGATGTCCCAGTCCCTGTGATCACAGGTCCTGGTGGGACAAGGTTCTATTGAAGGGACAAGGACAAAAGAGCAGAGAGATGACCCAGCCGAGGAGTGACCACATCAAAATCCATGATGCAGAGAGCACTGACTGGACACAGGCCCTGTCCATGCTTGGCTCCACACAGTCTTTTCCTGTCCCTGCCTGCAACAGACTCAGCACAGCAAACATGGATTCTGGAAGGTTCTCAGTGCTTTTGTTCATTTCCTTTCTCCAATTTTAGGAATCTTCTCCTTTAATTAACCCAACAATCAATCCCTCATGGCAAGAATTTGAAAAAACAAATTTATAGTCAGATTCTCATTTTCAAAATGGAAGACATTGCAGCTCAGTGCAATGTGAAGTTAAGACAAGGCTGGAGACATCTCAGCCCACCTCTGCTGGAAAAGGAGAGTAGATGGGAAAACAGGAAATGTCAGTGTGGGGACGAGGTCTTGGTGGGTGGGGCGGGGGGGGCAGTCTCTCCACCTCCTCACATTACGCTAACAGGAACGCAGACACATTCAGATGCCATTTGCAGAAAGCGAGGTCAGAGATTCCCGAAGTCACAATTGGGGAGGGGGAGGCATGAACAAATCTTGCATCACTCAGTCGCCACAAGGCAGCTGTCTCACACTATAGAAGACAAGAATCATGAACAAATTCAGGTCAGTGGCTGTAGGTGGTGACATTCTGAACAGCCCACCACATCTTCCAAATGTCCCAACCAAAGAATCCCCATAACCCACCTGTGTTCCTTCTGCCCCAACTGCTCTCCCAGGCTCTCCAAGGTCTCACCTTTAGGATCCGCGAGAGACACATCTGTGCTCAGGGCACTGTCACCGCCTGGGATAGAACAAAACAGGACATGGTCAGAGCCCAGGGGACACGAGACTAAAGGAGGAACTATGGGGTGGGTGAGCTCCCCCATGGGCTCCTGTCTGCACTATTACAAGGGTCTCAGGGATCAACCTCCCCCTTCCACACTTACGCAGCCTGAGTGTAGCTCCCTCCTTTTCCACCTGTGGGAAGAAAACATCCTGTGAGAAGCCACGGAGGAGGCAGGGCCATAAGTTCCTAAAGGAACACCCTAGTCCTAGACCCCTGGGGAGTTTACAGAACTGTGACTACGGACCCAGGGCAGGATCAGGAAGAGGAAAGAACATGTGTGAGGAGTGGAACAAGTGCCCTCGTGGAAGTCTGTGCTCAGCAGTGACCTTCCCCTCTGTCCTGTGACTGCTAGGAGTCAGGGGTCCATCACCAGATCCATCATGGTGATAAACTTGTCCTGAATTTTCACATGTGCTTTACCAAAGAGTACGTGTTAGCAAACAGGGCACCAGACTGGGTAAACAAGTGTGTGGATGGGACTTCCCATTAACAAGGCAGGGCAAACCTCTCCCTGGAGCTAGAAGCCTCCCAGCGGGACAAAAACACTCAGAGCAAACCCCTTCCCTACCTGAGCGCTTCTTCCTCCACATCACAGCTCCAGCCACCACAGCGACAAGGAGACCCAGGCCAGCAATGACTCCCACAATGAGGATGGTGGACTCAAGAGGCGGCTCTGGGAAGCGAAGGGAAGGTGAAGGCCCTGACCCCAGGCCTCAGCCCTGACCCTGCTGAAGGTTTCCAGAAGGGCTCCTGAGTTCCCTGAGAAGAGGCTCTGAGCCCACAGCTCCCTCCTTACTCCATCTCAGGGTGACAGGCTCAGGGAGTCCCTGGTGCTGCACATGGCACGTGTATCTCTGCTCCTCTCCAGAAGGCACAACCACGGCCGCCCACTTCTGGAAGGTCCCGTCCCCTGCAGGCCTGGTCTCCACAAGCTCCGTGTCCTGGGTTAGGTCCTCCCCATCACGCTGCCAGGTCAGGGTGATCTCCGCAGGGTAGAAGCCCAGGGCCCAGCACCTCAGGGTGACCTCATGGTCAGAGATGGGGTGGCGGGTCACATGCGTCTTTGGGGACTCTAAGGAGAAGGGTGAGAAAATTCAGGAACTTTGCATCCTTCATGGGCCACTAAAGCAGCACTCATGTGACTATCCTGAGAATGGATGGGACAATTAGGGTGGGCAAAGGGAGCACAAAACCCAGACACCAGACTAGACACAGGCTTCTGGGATAATTTCCTATTGTTTGGATAGTTCTAGGAAGAGGGTGAGACAACAAGGTAGGAGACTCCAGCTGTCTGATGGAGGAAAGGGAATTTCTGGTCCTGATCTGGGTGGAAGTGGAGTGACTCAGAAAATCTCACACACATAGGTGTGGGGCAGAGAACAAGGTTGAGAGAAAGTCCCCCACAGTTCTCAAAGCTGCTGACAGAGAGTCAAGGGGTGCTGCCGATTGGTTATTGCAGAGATGGTCTCCCCATCTATCCCTAGAGAGACTGGATCCCTTAATAGTTCCTCAGAGAAGGACTGACCATCGGCACTAGTCACTCTCTAGTACAGGATCTGAACACTCAAGGCGGAATCCCCTCTCTTGACTCACGGGAGGGGTCGTATTCTGGCATCTATTCCATCTTCGTCCTCTCCTTGTGGGAGCGCAGCCCCAGCCTGTGAAGAGATCTGGGAAGCACGGAAGCGCCCCTTATACCTGTGCGCTGCAGCATCTCCTTTCCATTCTCCAAGTATCTGCGAAGCCACTTCACGCACGTGCCCTCCAGGTACCCCCTGAAGCGCTCATGTGCAAGGGACGCCTCCCACTTGCGCCGGGTGATCTGAGCCGCCGCGTCCGCCGCGGTCCAGGAGCGCAGGTCCTCTTTCAGGGCGATGTAATCGGCGCCGTCGTAGGAGTACTGCCAGTACCCGCGGAGGAGCGGCCCGTGCGATCCCACCTCGCAGCCATAGGTCAACTGGAAAGCGTGAGATCCTGGCCCCGCCCCCGCGGTCAGCCACGCCCACTTAACCCGGCCCCCGCCCCTCACCGATGGGTGGTGATTGGTCAGAGCCAGTTTCCAACTCAACAGCAGACAATTGAGACTTAGGGGGGCCCTGGCTGGTCAGTGGCAGATGGGGAGATTCATGATCTGCGACCTGGGCCCGGGGTCACTCACCGGCTTCGCTCTGGTTGTAGTAGTCCCTCAGGGTCAGCAAGTTCCTTCGAAAATTCTGTATGAGGTCCTTGGCGCGCCGTGTCTCTTCTTCCCAATACTCCGGCCCCTCCTGCTGCACCCACGGCGCCCGCGGCTCCATCCTCGGACTCGCGGCGTCGCTGTCGAACCGCACGAACTGCGTGTCGTCCACGTAGCCGACTTCGAGGTACCGGGGCTCCCCGCGGCCGGGCCGGGACACGGCGGTGTGGAAATACCTCATGGAGTGGGAGCCTGGGGGCGGGGAGGGGTTGAGACCTGGCCCGACCTTCCTCCTGGCGCGGGTCCCCGGGTCCGAGGTTGAAGGGGCCTGGAGGGAAGGAAGGGGTGGGGTCGTCAGACAGAAAAGGGGCTGCGGGAGACCCGAGTGGGTGAGAGGCGACAGCGAGAGACTGGGGAGGGAGCCTGGGCCCGAGGCGGCGGAGACGCGACTTCCCCGGGGGTCCTGCGCCCCCGCCGCGAGGTCCCCTCGCTCCGTGCCCCGCAGAGGCCGTTTCCTCCCGACGCCGCACTCACCCGCCAAAGTCTCGGTCAGGGCTAGGGTCCCCGAGAGCAGTAGGAGGAGGGTTCGGAGCGCCATGACTGTTTCCTAAGAGTCTGGAGAGAATCTGAATCTAGGCCTGTGTGTGCAGACTTTATAACAGGAAACCGCGTGAAGCTGATTGGCTTCTTTAGAAACCGGACATGCAATGCGAATGAGAACTGGGGCATCATGATGAATATCTAGGCGGAAGGACCTGAAGGGTTGTGAGAAGAAGTGAAATTTCTGGGCAATGGGGAATCCCTAAGGTGTGGCTTCCCCACCCCAGACAGAGCCCTCTGGGTTGAGACCCTGAGAACCATGCTCTGGCACTTGGGACTTGCCCTGACCCCTCTCCTCCTGCACCGAGAGCTTTTTGTCACACCGTCTCACTGAGTCCTGGCCCAGGGGCTGTCTGAGGAAACCGGGAGAGACCCCCAGGCTGGGCTCAGCCCCTTTTCCGCCTCTTCCTGGAATCACTCTCGCTGAACTGGACTCTGCCTTCCATCCCTGACCTCTCCCCCTGGACTCTTCTAGAAGAAAACTCACCCCCAGGGAACTTGATGCCAAAGAATGAGTTTGCTCAGGGAATGGATGGGGAGGGACAGGGGTTTTCTCTTTAAACGTGGAGGAGTTGTGCCTGAAAACACCAGATAAAGATTCCCGTAGAGACCAACTTCCTTTTTATTCACTACAGTGGGTAAGACAAACTTAAAACCCCCGAACATCAGGAATCTAATCTGTAAAAGCAGTGATTTTGACGCCTTGTACAGGAATGTGTCTGCACAGCACTGCAGTCGGACTCACAAAGGTCCTGAGTTTTACTTTCCCAGGCAGTATATCTGTGACCGTTTTGTGACTGTATTTTAAAATGATCTTCATTCCATAGCCCTGAGTTTGCCTGTGTGAGACCCCACATATCCTCAGTACAAAGAAGCACATGATAACACAATTTGTTACTGTATATTTCAACAAGGAGAGAGTGCAAACTTTAATCACCTCGAATTAGCAAGTGTTGATCAAATGGGCCTGCTCCAGTGCTCATGCATTGCCTGTTTTTAAGAATTACTATCTTCTAAGCGATGCGCATTTTTCACCAGGACACTTGGTATTATTATTTTGTTTGAACTGATTAAGGTAAGGAGCCAGTAGTTTTTAGGAAGCTCACACAGAGTGCAATCAGAATAGCCTGATTGGCCATGTAGATATATTTATTAAAAATATGTGAAATAACATATTTAAATCTGAGAATTCCACTGCTTTAGAATTCTTTTCCTCTGCTCCTTTTCCTCACCCCTGCTTCTCCAGCCTTTCTCTCTGTCTCTCTCACCCCTTAGGCACTCTTCTCCTGAAGTCTCCACCGCTCTCTCACTTCTGAATTGTGGCACTGCTGCTGCAGTGCACAGACTGTTCTCCTCACAGAGGTCATGGATCCTGCTAATGCGAGTCAGGATGTGTCCTTTCTTCACTTAAAATGCTCCAGTGGCTCCATCTCACTCATGTAAAGCCTCTACAAAGTAAGGAACATGAGCTCAGGAGCTCTGGACTGTTTTGTTCAAAGCTGTAACCTCAGTATGTACAGCCAATACTGGTATGTTGTAGGCACTACATTAATTTTGTCAAATGAATGAAATATAGTGGAATTAAAATTTAATTGTATCACATAAAAATCACAAAATAAAAAATACAAAAAAAAATCGGGAAAGATTTTACTTCCTGCAACTAGTGTGCCTGACAGTTCATAGATTCATTCCGTTGGAGAAAATGTTATGTGCTTGTGTGTTGCACAGTTAAGCCTGTGTGTAGTTTTATATTACCACATAAGAAATTACCACCAACTTAATGGCTTAAGACAACATCAATTATTTGCTTACAGTTCCTTATTGAGAAATCCAAGCAAGGTGTATGTGGGTTCTCTGTTCAAGGTCTCACAAAGCTGTGTTCTTATCTTGAGTTTGAGGTTCTCCTCCAAACTCACATAGAGCTTGTTGGCAGAATTCTCTTTCTTGCGGTTGTAGGACTGAAGTCACATTTCCTTGCTGGCTGTCAGTGAAGGAGGGGGTGGTAATGTGGCTCTGACTTCCCTGCCTGGGCCCTGGTGAGAATGGTCTGTCCTGCACTTCTTTTCAGAGTAGGAGTGATCAGTAGTCTTGGAGTCAGGGGCTCCTGTATTCGCTCCCTCCTCCCTAATGAAGAGTGCTTTATGCTTTTTGGGAAGCAGGGGTCTTCACAGTCTGCTGATCTGATGAATATCATTGTCCCATCTCCTGAAATAAAGGCACATGTGCACATAACAGCAACTCCTGCTTGCAATACCAACGTGGGGAGGTTTCCTAGACCTTGATTCTCCATTTACACAGAGAGAGAGGGGTGGTGGAAGTAGGGGCTGATGTCCAGAGCGGGAGCCCCAGGTATCCTTTAGAAATTCTCCATTGGTGTTCATTTGCTTTCTGAAGTTTGGAAGAATTTGCACTCAGCAGGAGAAAGCCTTTGAAGAAGGTGAGAGATATTCAGGCGTGGGTATAGGGGGTGGAAGAGGATGAGGAAGTAGAGACAAAGCAGAATGGGGCTGGGCAGGAGGTGAAGGGTCCAGGAGGAGAGGGGCCTGGCCCAATGGCAGCTGGTCTTGAGCCTGGAGCCTCAGTGCAGGGAGGACTGAAGCCCATGAGGAATGGGGAGAGTGCAGGACCTTCTATTGTCTAGAAAAATCACCTCAGAATTTTGTTTTGTTCGTTTTTGTATTCTATTAAGATGAATTTGGTAAATAAGCCAAATTAATAAGCATGGGAAATAAGGACCTACTTTTCCAAGGGTAACTTTTACAATCTCCCCCGAGTTTGAACTCATCACCAGTCTCCTGAAGAAGGTAGCCAGGCACCATCATGAGGCCTGTGAAGCCTGCTCTTTTTACTTGAGTCTCTGCACTTCCCCCTCTGCTTTGGGCTGGGGGAGGGGGTGGTGAGGAGGAGCATGGAGGCTTTGGGCGCTTCCTTCTGCACTTCCTTTCTCTGTTGTTATTGCTGGAGTTCCTGCCTCCCCAGCACCCCATCCCTCACCTAAGCAAAACACAGCCAGTGGCATGCTTGGCCCAGGAAGCCCCTTGGGGCCTCAGACCCACTGGAACTACCCACCCGAACAGCTTCTCTGCATACTCTCCCTGCCTGAGGCAACTGCCCAGATGGACTGGATCCTCTTGCAGACGCTGCCTTTGCCCAAACATTCTTGAAAGTTCTTTAGATCAGAAACTCCTTCTTTAGACTTGCTCTGAAGCCTTTGACCTTTCTCAAGGGCAAATTGATGTTCAAGGAACAAGATCTGCCCGAACTTTGTCTAAGACCCAAGGATGCTATGGCAATGTGGGTTTCCGGTGTGGCTGAAGCATAACTGTGACAGGTACCCAGTGCTTGCACTTGATTTTGCACTTCTTTTTATTCTAGCCTGCGCCTTTTGTCTTAGTTTTACATATCTGTCTACTCCACTCAAGACATCCCTTTCAGAAACAATTTAAGAAAGATTCAGTGCTATCAAAATGTGAAGCTGTGTCTTATAGAAGAAAGTATAGTGTTGAGTTTTAATTAACATTTTGGTTTTTAAAAATCTGAAATTTACTGAGTTTTGGGCTTAATTTTACAATATTTAAAAACTGAAATATTCTCCCTGACTCCCATACAAATTCAAATGTATACTAAAAGAGAAATTTCTGCATATCAGAGAAAGTGAAAATCACCAAGTTATCCTACTCCCTGGGGATATCACTGTCAAACTTTGGTGAGAAATCTTCTAGGTTTTCCTCTGTGTAAAACATGTATTATATTAGTGGGATTAGTGGCATTATAATTCAGTTTGTTCCTAAGCTTTGGCAAAGCTTGACAGTGTATTGGGCACACCTTTTCACAGCAATATATTAAAATCTATCTTATGCCTTTTATTGGTTGCAAAGATTTTTATCACATGACCTTTCTTTGGGGAGATGGAAATGTCCCACATCTTCACTGTGGTAGTGGTGACATGGGTGTGTACAATTGCCAGAACTCAACCAGCTGTGCATTTCAAATAGATGCATTATATTGTATGCAAAGTACGGCCCAATAAAGTTGGTTTTAAAAATATTATCCTCTTTAAAATTTGTACTTTGGTTATATAAAAACAACCAAACACCTTGTTGGTGTTGCTAAAAGACACACCCTGACACATCTGGAGTTAATGGGTCCTGATCTGCAACTTTCTCTCAAATGGTCCCACAATAACAACAATAGCCATCTATTTATGCATTCAGAGAAAGATCAAACAGCTGAAGTCAAATGTCAACAAATGACAAAACTAGATAGAGGGGGAAAATAAAGGTTAGAAATAATACTACATTTTTTGAAATTTATTTCCCCTTTACCATTTTTCTTCCTTTTTCTTCTCTCTTCCTTTCTTAAAACACTTTCCCCCTTCCCTCTCTCTTTTCCCCACTCTCTCCTTTAAGTCTTATCCCCTGCATATTCGAGCCCCGTGGTCAACACGCGTGCTTGCGTCCACCTGCAGAGGTCAGGTACGGGTCAGGTACCGAGGTGTGAGTGGGCTGTCGCCTGGGCATTTTGTAAGCGGTAAAGCGCTACCTGGCCAGTGGAGCTAGATTCAAATAGGACGGTCCTGGGCGGGCACTTTCCTTTCTGGGGTGACCTGAGGCTGTAGGAAGTGTTTTCCATTGTTAGAAACCAAGATGGGGCCCCTTGGGGGAGGGGGCTGGAAGCAGCATTTCCGTACTCACCCGCCTCAGAATCAACCAATGTGTTATTTATAAGTCAGATTCCAGGTCCCCCTCCAGAGTCTGGGACTCCGAATGTCGCTGGACCCGGGGCAGGTCTGCGTTTTCACCACTGGCAGGTATAACTGCCTAGGAGTTTGGGAACAGAAACCTAAATGCAGCTGGCTCCTCTCCCACTCCGCCCATAAGCGCCTTTATAACAATGAGCAACATTTTTTAGGCCAGGTTGCGGGGGCGGGGCGGGATGTAAATCCTCCATGGAAGCTCTGGGCCAGCCCGCTTGAAAATAAGCCCGGGCCGCCCAGAGAAGCCGCGCCTTGGATTATGTAAACTGCCGTGGGTATTTGGGTTTCTTTTCTAGACCCTGCAGCGGCGCCTGA